TTCAGAGAAAGAGGGAGGGAGGGAGGGAGGGAGGGAGGGAGGGAGGAAGGAAGGAAGGAAGGAAGGAAGGAAGGAAAATAGAGGTGGGGAGGAATGGAAGGATGGAGGGAGGGAGGGCAGGGAGGGAAGGAGGAAGGAAGGAAGGAAGGAAAGAACGAAGGAAGGAAGGAAGGAAGGAAGGAAGGAAGGAAGGATGGATAGAGATGAGGAGGAACAAAAGGAGGGAGGAAGGTAGGTAGGTTGGTAGGCAGGTAGGTTCTGGGGATTTGAAAGTCTTTTGCATTTGAACAGCAAAAACCACCAATATGAAAGAATCAAGTTATTAATGCAAACTACAGAGTTGGAAGAAAGTCAAGCCGAACAGTTTAAGATGGTATTGAGAGTAGATAGGAAAGCAATTCCATTTTGTGTTTTTGTGGTTGTGTATCTCTCTGATGGAATTAAGGCAACAAGATGGATGCCTGATAGGATAGTGAATTCTGGATAAAAGTGAAAGGAGAGGAGACTACCATGGAGGAAATCTCTTCTTTGGCCAAGGGCCAACTTCCATTGGCATCATTCATTGGGGTCTCCATGCCAACCGTGGGTGGGGATGAGGCAACAGGAGGAAAGAGGCAAAGCCAAAGATGGGCAGATCACCTATTCCCTCTCCTCTTTGTCATCTCCAGCTTCTGTTCTTTTCCATGTTAGTTTTTTATGAAACAAAATCTGAACTCCACCCATGCTTTCAAAACTGCATTGAAGGTGAGATGCTGCCCACCTTTAAAACTAACTGCAGAACAAATGGTTGTATTTGTGCTGGCAAAACCCAGATGCTCTTCTCCTCAACTATAGTCCTGCCAGTCATATCCATCTCCTGGAGAGCACCGGTCTTCTCGGGTTGATTGAATTAAGCCCATCAAGGCTGAGAAAGAAGCTGGAAATTCACCATCCAAGGTTGATGACGAGTAAGCCATTTGTCAACTCTGGCTAGGACCAATATTTTCATAATATTTGATTATTTCTGAGCAGACTTCTTGGCTCTCCTTGATGATTGCTGGGGGCTGTGGCCAAATGAAGGGAAAATGGCAATTGGATTAAAGAGTTGAGATGCTTTATAGGATTCAGGTGGACATCTCTGTCCTTAGGGCTGATGGGGAACCAAGATACCATCTTTTTGGGAAATGCCCAGAGAATTGAGGAATAGTACAATTGAGCCAAAGAAATCTTGGTTTAAGTTAGATTAAGGTGGACGGATGATCGGAAAAAAGTGTTAGAAGGAAAAGCAATTGTAAAAGTAGCTGATCTAAGAAATGGGATGTTTCAGTACAAGAAGGAAGAGAACTTCTACGCAGATTATATATCACATGAAGGCATGATTGCCTTGTCTTAAGAGATTGTTAATTAACCTATAACAGAAGAACATAGGAATCTATATATATATAAGTGAAAACCACTCACGCATTAATAACGAAATCTTCAGAACCGTAAAGCCTACAAACTTGAATTTTCCCACATATGTTCCTTTTGGCTTCTAGGTGCTCACTAAGAAAGGATTTTTCGAAATGGCCATCATATAGTATTTCCTATATTATGATTAACAGGCTCTGATGCTAAGGAGTTGTACTCCCCCTCCCTACTTCAAAAGAAATCTGTTACAAATGCAAAACACAAGCAGAGGAGAGGAGTTTCAGTTTTACTTTCACAGCAGCAAGCAGCTTTACTTCAGAACTGTTGAGCTAAGCCATGCCCAGCCTCCTTCCTGTCTCCTTCTTGCTCACACAGCAAATACTGTTTGAGTTTCCAAACACTCCTCAACTCTCTCACACACTGACAGGATGCTAGCCAGATGAATACTGATGAATGCTGCAGGCTGGAACATTCTACTCCCCCCCCCCTGTTCCAACTGCCAGTTGCATTATATTAAGACGCTCTGATGCTATGGAGTTATACATTCTACATTAAGTTTCAAGCTGCAAGTGTCAATTTTTCAAGCCCGAGCACATGGTTTCGTAGCAAAGCATGGGTGTCCAGATAGTAGTCCTATAAATCAAGCAGATCTCTGAATTTTTTCAGTTTGAAGGTCATATTAGGGGCCAGAGAAATGCAATAATAGGTGGCCCTCCTCTTCTTCGTGGCAGCCCCTCAGATATTAGAAGATTGCTATCATGTCACTCCAATCATTCTTTTCACTAAACTAGACGTACCCAATTCCTGCAACCGTTCTTCCAGTTCCAGAGGCGTTCTTGCAGCCTCCAGTCCCCAACTCCCAAGCAGAGCAGACAGTCCCAATACTTTGCTTGTTAAGGGAAGCAATCCTAAATGCATCAGCTGAGAGGGACGGTTGAGGTGTTGGCTTGTCTTCTTCATCTCCAGGAAGAGTGGACATGTAGCAAAGGATCATCTTAAAATTGATCTTAAAGTGGATTATCTGCCCTCTAAACATCTAATTCTGCGCCATCAAGTCATTTATGACTCTTAGTGACCACATAGATTTTCTCCATGATGATCTGACTCTGACATGGTCTTCAAGAATTCTACTGATCTTTTTTTCCCCCCTTTGTGGGAAACTAACAGCGCATGATTCTTGGTTCTCGGTGCTCTCTGAGCTTGTTGTTTTCTGGCAAACGTTTCATGACCCAACTAGGAAACATCATCAGTGCTACATGGGAGGAAGGTTTGTGGAGGAGGAGGAGGAGGAAGAGGAGGAGGGCGGCTGAGGGGTCATTGGTGCTCTCTGAGCTTGTTTTCTTGCAGACATTTAATGACCCAACTAGATAACATCATCAGTGCTAGATGGGAGGGAGGCTTGTGGAGGAGGAGGAGAAGAAGGAGGGCGGCTGAGGGGCCCTTGGTGCTGTCTAAGCTTGCTTGTTTTCTGGCAAACACTTCATTACCCAAACTAGATAATATCATAAGCGCAATTGTCATCAGTGGCCACGAGAGGGTGATGGTGCCTCACTTCTGTTAATCACTCAGACCCCTTAAATTGCTGATTGGGGATAATTAAATCAGTTCCCTCAAGATAGGTGCAAGATATTTCATTCTCCATCATGACACCGGACTAAAAAGCTTCTAGTTAAAGGATGAGAATCTTCTGGGCCACGTTAATTACATCAATATCAGGATGCAACTTGCATTCATTTTTGCCCGTTGCAGAAAGTTGCAGAAAGCAGAGGGTTTTACGACTCAGCCCTTGGTGATTTATTGGCTAATTGATTATTTCTTAAATAACTTTGGGTTATAAATGAACCTGGTTCGAATTGTGCAGAGGTTTAGACCACTAGTGGACCTACTGATCTAGTCTTGCCCAGTTTCAGGAGATAAGCAGTCTAGATCCTGGTAAGCACTTTAAATCAGGAGATCTCACAGCTGTTAGTTAAACTAGGAAACCAAACTTTGATGATGATGATGACTTTTTAAGAAGACAAAGATGATAGCAATGACTCACCTGCACAATGGTTCAGAAATGTGAAAAATTAAAATCTCTGCCAAGAAAATGGCACAGGAACTGAGAGCTCAGCAGAGAAAACAGGGCTTATACGATGTTTTCACAAAAAAGTTACTAGAATATACCACCACAGGGCTGGAAGAGACCTCAGAGGTCTTCTAGTCCAACCCCCTGCTCAAGGCAGGAGACCTTATATCATCTAGGTCAAAATGATTGTCTGGTCTATGTTTGAAATCCTCCAGCACCCACAACTCCAGGTAGCAAGCTGTGTTCTGCTGATTCATCATACTCACTGCCAGGAAATTCCTCATTTCCGGGTTGAATTTCCTTCTGATAAGCTTCCTCCCATTACTTCTTGTCCTATCTTCTGGTGCTTTGGAGAATAAGCCCTCCTCTCACTGGTGGGATTCAAAAAGTTCTACTACCGGTTCTGTGGGCGTGGCTTGGTGGGCATGGCATGCCTTGGTGGGCGTGGCTTGGTGGGCATGGCAGGGGAAGGTTACTGAAAAATCCCCATTTCCTCCCGATCAGCTGGGACTCGGGAGGCAGAGAATAGATGGGGGCGGTCAGAGATGGTATTTACCAGTTTTCTGAACTTCTCAAAATTTTCACTACTGGTTCTCCAGAACTGGTCAGAACCTGCTGAAACCCACTTCTGCCTCCTCTCTTTGAAAGGCCCTCAAGTACTAAAATACAGTTATCATGTCCTCCTTAAGCCTTCCTTTTTGATAGGCTAGACCACCGGTGTCAAACTCGATTTCATTGAGACCTGCATCAGGGTTGTGTTTGACCTTGGGGGGGGGGGGTTCAGGTGGGGCGTGGCCAGCTTGACATCACTCGTGTCAGGGAACCTGTGTCCTGAGTGCTCTGTCAGTGAAAACAGACTCCCGCGAGCTCCATTTTCAACTGCGACGGCCTCCTGCAACCCTCTGCCAGCGAAAATGGAGTTCAGGGGAGGCCGCAGGTGGCCCTCATGAGCTCAGTTTTTGACAACAGCCTCCTGCAACCCTCTGCCAGTGAAAACGGAGCTCGGGAGAGCCATGCGCGGCCCTCGTGAGCTCCATTTTCAACTGAGACAGCCTCCTGCAACCCTCTGCCAGCGAAAATGGAGCTCAGGGGGCTCTGTTTTCGGTGGCAGAGGGCTGCAGGATGCCGTCACGGCCAAAAATGGAGTTCAAGAGGGCCGCACATGGGGGCCCCCAAGCTCTGTTTTTGCTGGCAGAGGCATGACAGGCCAGACTTTTGCAGTTTCCAGGATGGCCCCGCGGGACAGATCTAAGCATCCTGTGGGCCAGATCCTGTCTGTGGGCCTTGAATTTGATACCCTTGGGCTAGACATACGTAATCCACTTAACCATTTCTCATATAGTTCATCATTATTCACCATCGCTATTCATCATCATCATTCCAAAGCTGAAGCTCACAAAAGTGCTGTCTTTGAATAAAATGTGCTAGTCAGAAAAGGTGTTTCTGATTTTGAGGTAACGTAGCCTAGCATACTTTTTTCTCCTCCAATTTCACCTCAGAGCAAAATTATTCTTCCGGAAACAGAATCACCACGAAGGCAATAGAAGTAGCAAAAGATTTCCCCAAATTTATTTATTGAAAAAATAGTCCCCGACACACAACACATGAACGCGTACATTCCAAAAGCAAGTTTTTTGCTTTACTCGGTCTGGTTAAAAAATATATATATCCCACCAAGATTTGGATTTAATAAAAGGAATCCTTCCGCAGCTTAAATTAAGGAATATATTATTAGGCTTTTTAGATTCAGTCTTCTTTTTTATCTGAAACATTTGAATGCTCATTTTCGGTCACTAGAGGGCAGACTTTGTTCCTTGGCACCGGCGTCGTTTCCGAAGAAGATAGACAGCTTGGGGTGGTAGGGGTGACTTCCCCGGAAGTGAATTCCGCCTCTGTCAACAGCTGGCAGCGTTGCAGCTCGAGATACGTTGTAAACAGCTTGGCATATTCAGGGTGCTTCTCAGCGAAATCCTTGAACTCTTCTAAAAATTTTTAAAAAATGAACAATGTTATTTCAAACATGGGAAAAGGTCTGAGGTCGCACTAAACCAGGAGAAGGCAGAGGTGGGATTCAAAAATTTTAGCAATCAGTTCTCTGCCCGGTTGCTGGGTGGGCGTTGCCATGGTGGCTGTGGCCTACTCAGCCTCCTGCACTACGGTGGGGTGTTTTCGCCCTCCCCAGGCTCCGGAAGCTTTCCTTAAGTTTCCGGGAGGAAGAAAACGGCCTCCCCGGGTTCTGGAGGCCCTCCAGAGGCTGGAAACAGGCCCGTTTCTGGACTTCCGGGAGATCTGTTTTTCGCCCTCCCAGAGCCTCCACGCGGGCGCTGCACTTACCTGGCATCCAAAATGGGCCACATGGAGACTCCTGGGAGGGGAAGGGCAGCAAGGTGGGCAGGGTCAGCCAGTCTTTGCAACTACCGGTTCGGCGAACCAGATTAAAATTAACATCCGGTTCACATGAACCAATCCAAACCGGCTGAATCCCACTCCTGGGAGAAGGCAACTTATGTGTGTTAGGTAAACCAGATAGGAATCACAACCCAGATGACCTAAGTCAACGTCATTGTGAGGCTACGTTGACAGAACTTTGCAAGTCTGAACATAAAATTCTCCCCCTCCCCCCATCTCACCTTTACAGGTGAAGAAACTAGGGAGGGTCTCTTCTGAGAGGCTCTTGCCCTGCTAGTTATACAGCTGTGGGATAAGCTGTTCTCTTATCTAGTTTAATGAAAAGGAGGACCAGGGGTGACACAACAACCGTGTTCCAATATCTGAAAAGCTGCCACAAAGAAGAGTCAACCTATTCTCCAAAGCACCAGAAGACAGGACAAGAAGTAATGGGTGGAAGCTAACCAAGGAGAGAAGCAACCTAGAACTAAGGAGAAGTTTCCTGACAGAACAATTAATCAGTGGAACAGCTTGCCACCAGAAGTTGTAGGTGCTTCATCGCTGGAGGTTTTTGAGAAGAGATTGGACAACCATTTGCCTGAAATGGTACAGAGTCTCCTGCTTGAGCAGGGAGTGGGACTAGAAGACCTCCAAGGTCCCTTCCAACTCTATTGTTTTGTTATCTGATTGTTCCCTTGGCAGCATCTCCTCATCCCATCTCCCAACTTCCTTCCCACATGCCATTACATCACACCCCCAAGTCTCCTCCCAACTGTACCCTCTGAATCTTCATTTCCTTAAATCCCACTTGGCTTCCTTACCATAGGAGAGTTTGTTAGATTTGTCAGCATCGATCTCCTTGAAGAGGTTTGAAACATCGAGGTCAGGAAGCCCCAGCGATGAACGGATAATTAGGGCAAATTCGTCTTCTGTTATGCTGCCATCTTCGTCAATGTCGAAAAGCTGAAAACAAAGAGCGTTTGTTGGGAAGGAGGATGAAGCTCAGCTCCGAGACATCTCCAAGTCATTCTTTGAATGCATGGAAAACCCTTCCCAGATTTCTTTTAAAGCCATTGGGGAAATGGTATTCTGTCCACCCCCTTTTGAAGGCTCTGCTCTTCATCTTAGAGCAGTAGAAGACTTAATTCCTGAAAGAACCACCTTCTCTTGTTATGAAGGGTTGCCATGTAGTCCCATTCTCAGGAAAACATCTAATACCACCCAGATCATGGCTTTCCCATCAGATCAGATTTCAGATCAGAAGGCAACAGTAGTAAGAGATGTAGCAGTGCTAAGTGACCGAAACATCAGAAGGAGAAGCTGAAGAAGGATCAGGGCCTCAAGAAGGAACTAAAAAAGATCTAGAAAATCAAGGCCAATTTGGTTCCTGGTGGTAGGAGGCACCCAGGATTGTGTCTCCTAAACTGGGAGAATGGATCCAACAGATCCCAGGAACCACTTCAGAGCTCTCTGTCCAGAAGAGTGCAGGGCTAGGAACAGCTAAGATACAGTACAGAACTTTCCAATTTCCAGGATTCTTGTAGAGCAGTGTTTCTCAACCTTGGCAGCTTGAAGATGGGTGGACTTCAGTTCCCAGAATCCCCCAGCCAGCACCGCTTCCAAGGTCCCAAGGTTAAGAAACACTGTTGTAGAGGATGAGAGATGGAAAAAAAAACACAGACCACCGATAGGAGAAAGGAAATAAATAAATAAATATATGGCCCACAATTTTGTGAAGCTTTCCCATAATGAGCTCTTGGTCATGCAAAAGTTTAGACTTGTTAGGCTCAAAGGATGCTAGCATCCCCTTTAGAGTGCTGTAGACCGGGGGAGGGGGGTGTCTCCAAACCTGGCAACTTTAAATCTTGTGGACTTCAACTCCCAGAATTCCCCAGCCAACCATTCTGAGAGTTGAAGTCAACGTTAAATGTTGCAGCAGAGAGAATCCGAAGTTTTCTCCCTCCATTCACAGTGGAGCTGCTTCAGCCTGTCCCTTTAAGGTATTTTGACCACCGGGAGGGAGGGGGCCGGGGGGGATAAAGGGAGTGAATGGAGGGAGAAAAGTTCGGCTTCTCTCGGCCACAGCGTTCACTATGAGCCCTTCTGGTGCTCATACACATTTTCCTACTGGGTTCTGTGGGCGTGGCTTGGTGGTGGGGTCATGTGACTGAGTAGGTGTGGCCATGACATCGAGTTGGCCACACCCACTCACACAGGACCACCACCAAGCCACGCCCACAGAACCAATAGGGGAAAAAATTGAATGTCACCACTGATTGAAGTCCACAAGTCTTAAAGTTGACAAGTTTGGAGACCAGAGCCCTGTTATAGACTAGCAAGGTCGTCCTAATTCAATGTTTTCCAGGGTTGATAATATGACTGGTGTCCAAGCTCTGCACAGAATCTCTCCACCCACAGATATGCCCTATCTGTAATTGTAGATCTGGGCTGCAGCACACCTTGTGTCCTCAATGAAGAGGATTTACCTGAAATGCCATCTGGATCGTCTGCTCCGTGTTGGCGGGATTGCACAGGACCGACAAGCCAATCACATATTCGCGGAAGTCTATGGTCCCATCGCCGTTCTGAAGGAAACACAAGACAATCACAAACGTTGTTGAAGTTGCTCGGTGATGCCGATGTGTCTCTTTCAGGGGTGGGTTCTAAAATTTATTACTACGGGTTCTGTGGGTGTGGCTTATTTTGTGGGCGTGGTTTGATGGTCATGTGACAATTCTTTAGGATTTAGCAGAGGTACTGGTCTACCAGGCTTTTAACTGCTTGCAGAGCTGTACCGGTCTACCCATTTGTTTTTTGAGCACGCTGGTCTACCACCACACTGCCTTTTAACACTGATCAGCTGTAGGGCGGCCCTTTGAAGCCCCGCGGCAAGAGTTTAAACAGTTTTTTTCCTTCTAGCCGATCAGCTGGGACTCGGGAGGCAGCGAATAGATTGGGGGCAGAGCCAAATAAAAGGTAAGAATAACATGGGCGGAGTGGGAGGGCCCAGCTCCCAAACAAAGGGAACCGGTTCGGTGACGTCATATCGTCACTGCTACCGGCTCAGCCGAACTGGGCCGAACCGGGAGGAACCCACCATTGGTCTCTTTCCCCCATCCATTTGGTTGAGGTCCTTTAAAACCACCCTGCCATCAAGAAACCAATCCTCCTTTTCATTCCACGGACCCAATTCCAGTATATTTTAGCCTCCAAGTCCCTTAAAAATAAGGGCAATGGTGAAAATAACAACGGTAACAACCACCACGCAAGTGAGAACAGCTCCTTGGCAAGATCCCAAAAGTCTGAATCAGGTTTTGTAAGATCCTTGAAGGAGACATCCGATTTTGCAGACTTATTCACTGCAGGGTGGTGCCCTTTCAAAGGTTCCCGGCTTTGCGTTCATGCCCAAATAATGGCACCCTTCTTTCAGTCTGCCAGCTGCAGCACAGAAGGGGTTAAACCTACAGACTTGCATACCAGCCCTTAGGGAAGAGGATTACATTCCTGGTTTCTAAAGAGAATGGAATGCAATGGGAGCAGCCCTTGAAAACTTCTATTTTCCTTCTTGAATGTAGGAAGAATGACTTCTGCTGGGTGGAGGGGGGGGAGGAAGGAGCAAAGAAAAAAAATAACGCCTTTGCTTTAACAAAAAAATAAAGTTTTGTTAATTTTTCTAGCAACGTAAGCCTGGATTTTTGTTCCATTCAGTTCCTTTTCTGAACCGAACCATTGAATGCAAACAAAAACAACCAAGGCCAGGGGTGAAATTCAATTTTTTTTTACTATCAGTTCTGTGGGTGTGGCTTGGTCAATGTGGCAGGGAAGGATACTGCAAAATCCCCATTCCCACCCCACTCCTGGGGGAAGGATACTGCAAAATCCCCATTCCCTTCCCACTCCTGGGGGAAGGATACTGCAAAATCCACATTCCCTCCTCACTCCTGGGGGAAGGATAGTGCAAAATCTCCATTCCCTCCCCACTCTTGGGGGAAGGATATTGCAAAATCTCCATTCCCACCACACTCCACGGGAAGGATACTGCGAAATCCCCATTCCCTCCCCACTCCTGGGGGAAGGATATTGCAAAATCCCCATTTCCACCCCACTCTGGGGCCAGCCAGAGGTGGTATTTGCCGGTTCTCCGAACTGCTCCAAATTTCCACTACCAGTTCTGCAGAACCTGCTGAATTTCACCCCTGATGAATCTCCCCTGCAAGGTTGCAGGCAGTCCTGGAACGACCTAGGCTGATAAGGCATTTTGTGAGGCAAAATGTGGACTTGGATAACTCTCCCAAATTCGAAGCTCTTTGGGGCATCTGTCTGAAGCCCCCTCCTAAAATTTTAGTTGACCCCCTAAGTCCATTTCCGTAAACACCCCAGTGTTTAATGACCACGTCACAATTCCCTGCAGACGGATTACAGAACATGGATGCAGATTTTTAGCTGCCAGGGAACCTATGCTTCTCTCTTCACCCTCCAAATCAAGAACTTTGAACAGATGCCAAGAATCTGGTGGAAAAACAACAAACACAAAATGCCCCCACACCTCTCTAGAACGGAAAAAGGAGTCACGGCCACTCTTTATGGTGCTAAAATGAGGCCTCCAGAAACCCTCCAAGATAGTTTCTTTTTAAAGAGATCTCCAGGGAACCCCATCTCCAGGGAACCCCCATGGGTTTTTGACTTCCCTTGATCCGCGAGGGGAAATTCTTGACTCTCCTTTGGAAAGGAAGCGGCTGCGTTCAGGATTGCCCTCCACCGACTTTCTCTGCTCCGTGTGACATTCCTGCCTCTTGGAAGCCTGCCTTGAAAGGGGAGGGAAGGGGAGGGACAGGCTGGACTTCTGCTGCGTACAGTTGTCAACGATGCTTATTTTGGCCTACAAAGATCAGCACCTGCTCTTGTGACGCAGCAGAAGACAGAACCAGCTGGCTTGATCTCAACCAGCTAAGGCAAAGTCAGACCAGATCTTTACTTGGAAAAAGTACCCCTTCTGCAAGCGAGAGCAGTTAGGCCTTACAACATCTTTAGCCCCAAAGCAGAGGGAGGCTCCTTGGATGCGTTGCCAAGAAACCAGCCCATCAAATGATCAAGAGAACTTGCTTGACTCTCTCAAGGGAATCCTTGTTTTCCTTTCAAAGGAAGATGCAGGAGAGAGGCAGAGAGGCAGAGAGAGAGAGAGAGAACAAAAATGTGTTTCTGTACTTAAAAGCAGGGACGAGCAATTAAAAACAGAGTAGTATCTGAATACAGTTCCCCACCTCTTCAGAAAGGTCTGCAATGGAAACTTGGCAAAGAAACAAAAATTGAACTTATTCCTTGGCTAAAGCAGCCCTCTAAATAATGCAAGTACATTTTGAATCTTTCTCTCCTGTTTTGGTGGCACCACCCTTGTAAGATTATCTCTCTTTTTTTTCTTTTTCTTTTAAAAGGATGGAATTATCCCAAGAAACATCAATGGCCAACCTGAGGGACAACAACTGAGGCCATCAGATCAAGCATTAAAAGGGGATGGAATTATCCTGAGAAACTCAGATGGTTCAAACCAACATAAGGCTCACCATCAGATCACACATTTATCATTGTAACAATGATCAGATAGAACCCAAAGACACACATGAACAATTTCAAATGGATGGATGGATGGATGGACTTCAATCCAATATCTCAGGGGCTGCCTCAAAGAAGAGGGAGTCAAGCTATTCTCCAAAGCACCTGAGGGTAGAACAAGAAGCAATGGGTGGAAACTAATCAAGGAGAGAAGCGACTTAGAACTAAGGAGAAATTTCCTGATAGCGAGGACAATTAACCAGGGGAACAACTTGCCTGCAGAAGTTGTGAATGCTGCAACACTGGAAGTTTTTAAGAAGATGTTGGATAACTGTTTGTCTGAAATGCTATAGGGTTTCCTGCCTAAGCAGGGGGTTGGACTAGAAGACCTCCAAGGTCCCTTCCAACTCTGTTGTTCTGTTCTGTTCTGTTCTGTTCTGTTCTGTTCTGTTCTGTTCTATTCTATTCTATTCTATTCTATTCTATTCTATTCTATTCTATTCTATTCTATTCTATTCTATTCTATTCTATTCTATTCTATTCTTATTCTTATTCTTATTCTTATTCTTATTCTTATTCTTATTCTTATTCTTATTCTATTGCCAGAGAGAATGACATAGTCCTAGGGAGAACCAGGAGATGAGGAGGGATTTTTTTAAAAAAATATAATCCTGAGCATTCAGAATCTTAACAAGATCTGCAGTTACAGGACCTGGCTGTCCACAATCCAGAAAGCTGGCCAGTTGGGTTCCTCATTTGAAACTAGGAACTTTTGTGCAACAGCAAATTATCCTCTGAGGCTTTCGGCCAAGAAGGGGCACAGCTGCCACAACTGTCATGGAGCAAGCAATGAGAACAGGCCTTCTTCCTCTGAACTGGTTTGGAGATGCTAGTTCTCATATTATTGCAACTAGAGTTTGTCCAACTAGGGTTGGATCAAGAAGGCACGAAGGCAAGTTCGCACAAAACACTCTCAACCACCACGGGAAAAGCCCCAAACCAAGTCAACACAATGGCATAGATATGAGTCATGGAGCCGATCAAAATCAGTGAGAAGGAACGAAGCACATTTTGAGACGTCTACAGGATTGACTCAAGGCAAAGTTATGGATCTCTTCCAGATGAGGTAGGGATGTCATCTTTGGGCCTGTTCAGATCACCACAAGGACAACCACATCTAAAATAGTTTTCCAGATTTAAAAACAAATAACCACGTTTAACCCAGGGCCTCATTTCTCCATCTGCCACAAATGTTCATACCTTAATATGGTCAAGAGTTTTTATGTCAACCCACACCTATCTATAAAGCAGGATTTCTTTTGAAAAAAACGAAAGCAAATACTTTGCTACAAAACAAACAATCCACAGTATTCTCCTTTTGTTATAATCCAAGTTTATTTTCTCTTCTTTACAACGGAGAGACCTTTTAAAGGACTAGATCTATTTTTGCCATGATTCCTTTCTTTGAAAAACCAGCGCTCAGCAAAAGCAACAGAGAACATGGCTAACCCAGAAGCTGCAGGTGTCATCTCCCTCCGGTTGCATTTACACAATGTGCTGTTTTCTAAATCTCCCAGATTGCTGTGTCCATCACCCCAAGTGACCATTACTGACTACGATGGAAACATAAATATACGGAATCTAGAGGGCAACAGGTTGAGAGCAGCTAATCTTATTCTTTCAAAAATGAGTTTAGGATCCCGAGTGCCCATCCATGATAAGAGGACAACAGAGCTCCAGGTTATGTTCAACAATAGAGACATCTGTAAATTAAAGTCAGATCAAACTTTTGAAAAGCACAAGAAGAACTACCTTAACCTGACCAGGGATTATTCAAGGTTTAGAATCCACGAATATCAATTTAGGAGGAGGAGATCAGAACAATATTGGAAACAAAATAAGGAAAGGAGATCAAAACACTCTCCTAAAGCAGAGAGGGAGAAAATTTGGAATAATGATAACTGTTGCTTCGTTTTGCACAATGTAGGCGTTAACCTAAGGAGAGTAGTAGGCCATCTTTTATTTTGCAACAAAATATTGGGTTTTTCCCTCCTAGTTGCCCGTGAAATAACCCACAGGTTCCCACGCACTTCCAACATGGCTAACATGAGCTTGCAACCTTAATACTATTGCAGAATTCAGGCCCAGCCACATACAACAAACCAAAACATCAGTGATAAACAAATGTTCTTTTAAAAAAATGCATGCATTGGTTACTCTCAATAACCCAGAGGTGCTATCAGCCAAAAGGCACTCACTGTAAGCAGGAAGGTTTAATTGAAGTCTCAGCAGAAGCAATATTTACATCTAGCCCTCTTCCCTCAAACCACCCCATAAATGGTACGGTCCAAGGTGGAGCAAACCACTGCTTTGTCTTTCCATCCCTCGCTCGTTTTTAAGAGTACATGGTGAGCTGCAACCACTCTTCAATGTTCATCTGGACTTTTCCATCCCCACGTCGGTCCAGGGATTTGAAGGCCCGGAACATTCCATCCAGACGGACCAAGCAGCTGATGAAGTTGTTGAAATCCATGCTGCCGTCTTCGTCGGCGTAACGACGGATCATCAGGGCATAGAGCTGCTCATGGAGGTTAAACCCAGCGGCCTTGAAAGCCGCGGGCAGATTCCTCATCTCGATTCTCCCTGCTGGGCCAGCATACTCTTTGAAGGAGCACTGCCACTTCTTGATGTTGTTCCAGAGATATCTGAACTGGTAGAAGTCCAGCTTGCCAGTGGCATCGCTGTCCATGACGGCCACCATGCTTCGGCAAGTGTCCAGGCTGAAGCTTTCGGATTGCAGGTCCTGATGGCGGGCCATCACCTTGTTGAGGATGTTCATAAGCTCGGTGGCGCACACTTCCATGTCGTCGCCCGCCAGTTGGGCGAAGAGCCGTCGGAATTGGCGTAGTTCCTCACTTTCGTTGGCTTCCACGTTGGCAAAATGGCTGCGAGGAGCTGGTGGGGGCTCTGGTTTGTACTGGGCTGCGGCTTCACTGATGATGTTCACAAGACCACCGAGAAGACCCATAACGTTGGCAGCTTTGCTGCCACCGCCACCGCCACTTGTTCCTCCTCCTCCACCACCACCACTGCCGCCTCCTCCTCCTCCTCCTGACAGGAGTCCACCAAGGCCTTGTATGAGGGCACCTCCAGTACCTCCTCCTCCTCCTCCTGTCAAGTTCTTCAGGAAGGCTCCAGCACCACCTCCTCCTCCTCCACTACTACTACCACCACCACCACCTCCTCCTCCTCCTGTCAAGTTCTTCAGGAAAGCGCCAGCACCACCACCACCTCCTCCTCCTCCTCCACCACCTCCTCCTCCTCCTCCTGTCAAGTTCTTCAGGAAGGCTCCAGCACCACCTCCTCCTCCTCCTCCTCCTCCTCCTCCACCACCACCACCGGTGGCGGCATCTAGCAAAGCTTGAGCAAGGAACATGGTGGAGAGTCCCAGAACCTGCCGCGTCTTTCAGAAGCTCTGAGTGTGTCTGTCTGTGTGTGTGTGTGTGAAGAGAAGCAGAGCTGGGCGTGTTCTGCAAGAGCAGATTCCCGCTGCCAAAGGAAATCGCAGTCCTTCATGTCCGCACACGTCATGTTTTCCACAGCTGGAATCTATTGTGGGCGCGGGGCCTCGCCCAAGCCCAGCGAGGGTGGAATTTTCCTTCTGCAAACTTGGAAGGGGGAAGACTTTTTCAAGCAACCCTCCCTCCTAAATCTTTTCTCTGGTTTGTTGGCTCTTAATCTAGAGCCCACCCCCAGCTCAGTACTGCAGAACTTCTCATCCGTTTTGTATTACATATTAAAACTCTCTTTTCTCTGTACACACATCCCCTCCCCTCTCTGTCTCCCTCCCTCCCTCTGTCACAAGCTTCGTTTCTGCAAACACTACAATGCTCGTTTGTTTTGCCCTTGGGAGGAACAGACAAAACACTTACTCTGTCAAAGAGAGTAAACAGCTCTTGCAAGACATCCGAGACGGGCAGCTTCAAATAGTTAGCAAACTCTTCGATGCCGATCCGACCGCCTTTGGACGTGCTGGCAATCCTTGCAAATTGATCCAGCTGATCGCGGATGCTGTCCCATTTGAGGCTGTCCAAAAAGAGGGAGGGGAGGAGAGGAAGAGACGGGGTGACATGAAGCAGCCTCCACTTTTCAAAGGGAAATTCAGGCCTGGAAGCCAGAAGAGTTAAACTAAGAGGGCAGCGATTCACATTTACGAGGTGGAGACCGGTCTCTTAAAGAGTTATCGTAAACACCCCTTTAAGTAGCAGTTGGATTTCTTTATGGGATACATGCATAAAAAGGAGAAAGACGGATTAAAAAAGATGCCTCTGACCAGATATATATATATATGATACATAGACAAATTTGTGCAATTATGCAATTCAGCACTTTTGCAACTATTGTGCCTGAAAACTCCACTCTTAATGTTGCCAAATCCATATCTTATTGGATCTTTAAATATTTAAGGGGTGGAAACTAATCAAGGAGAGAAGCAACCTAGAACTAAGGAGGAATTTCCTGACAGTGAGAACAATTAACCAGTGGAACAACTTGTCTCCAGAAGTTGTGAATGCTCCAACACTGGAAGTTTTTAAGAAGAGATTGGACAGCCCTTTGTTTGAAATTGTATAGGGTTTCCTGCCTAAGCAGGGGGTTGGACTAGAAGACCTCCAAGGTCCCTTCTAACTATCCTCTCCTCTCCTCTCCTCTCCTCTCCTCTCCTCTCCTCTCCTCTTCGATAGTCACTGAAGTTGCCCACAAGGTTCTCTAAGAAGCCCAACTGAGCCCTCCTGGGACTTTTCTCCCAACCCTAGTAAGGTTTCATGTCAGCTTCAATGTCACCGATTTCTATTTATAACCAGAGAAAGTTCAACCTGCGAACAGCAGATGCGAGAAACCAAATCCCAGGCTTGAGATCCATGATGATCACCTTCCTTTTTTCCCTTGGATCCCTCCAGCTCTCTGACTAAGCAGGAAGATCCTAAGGCAACTGCAGGGAACCTCCAGTTCTACTCCTCCAGATATATCATTTACTTACATTCCCACCTTTATTATTTTGATCAAGAGCTCAAAGACGGCGAACATACCTAACGCAGGTAAGTCCTCGACTTACAACAGTTCATTTAGTGACCGTTCAAAGTTACACTTGAAAAAAAAAGTGACCTCTGACTTCATGGTCACGTGATCGAAATTCAGATGCTTGGCAACTGGCATGTACTTAGGACGGTTGCAATGTCCCGGTGTCACATGATCCCCTTCTGCAACCCTCTGACTAGACAAGTCAATGGGGAAGCCAGATTCATTTAACAACCATGCTAGTAGCTTATCAATTGCAGTGATTCGCTTAACAACGGTGGCAAGAGAAGTCGTAAAATGGGGCACAACTGACTTAACAAACATCTCACTTAGCCACATAAATGTTGGGCTCAATTGCAGTCATAACTTGAGGGCTGCCTGTATTCGTCTTCCTTCTTTTTTTTTTTTTATTCCTCCTATTTTTTTCTTCTTATTTTTTCTTCTTCTTTTTTTATTCCTCCTACTTTTCCCATGACAACCACCCTGTGGAATGGAATTGGCCTACTTACTTCAACTTCTTGCTGATTTTTGTGAATTCGACCAAACCGGCTTCCATGGGGAGAGTTAACTGCCCTGCCGAAATCATGAGCCGACAATCTTCGTAAGTGTGATCTGTGACCGGCACCTCCAAAACACTGCGATTCAAAGACACAAAAGCCACAAAATCCGTTCAGCGCTAAACTGAAAGCCGCTGCCCAAAGGCCATGGCCAAGCTGACCAAGGCAGGTTATACCAGGAGAACTTCCATAAAATCCAAATAGAAAGCCTATTTAACCAGGAGAATATAAACATTGAAAAGATTAGTCGGGAGAAAGATGGAGGCAGCCATTTCTTTGGTCTTTGCAAGAAATGTCTTGCCTCCTAAGGCTATAAAAATAATTCTTCGGGATGAGGAAGAATCCAGAAAAAATTATTCATCCAGAAGGAAGGAAGGAAGGAAAGAAGGAAAGAAAGAAGGAAGGAAGGAAGGAAGGAAGGAAGGAAGGAAGGAAGAAAGGAAGGAAAGAAAGAAGGAAGGAAGGAAGGAAGGAAGGAAGGAAGGAAGGAAAGAAGGAAGGAAGGAAAGAAGGAAAGAAAGAAGGAAGGAAGGAAGGAAGGAAAGAAGGAAGGAAGGAAGGAAAGAAGGAAGGAAGGAAGGAAGGAAGGAAGGAAGGAAGGAAGGAAGGAAGGAAAGAAAGAAGGAAGGAAGGAAAGAAGGAAGGAAAGAAAGAAGGAAGGAAGGAAAGAAGGAAAGAAGGAAGGAAGGAAGGAAGGAAGGAAGGAAGGAAGGAAGGAAGGAAGGAAGGAAGGAAAGAAGGCAGGCAGGAAGGAAGGAATCTGTATGAAAACTCACAATAAAATATTTCCTCCCGCCTGTAGATAGTGCAGCAACCTTGCTCACACATCCTCCATGGCAAAGAAAGAAATATTCTCCCACAAACACTGACCTTGCCATTTTGTTACGGACTCTGCTGGCGAAAAGGGCCGGGTCTTTCTTTTCTGCCTCAGATGGGACATGAACAGGGAGGAACTGAAAAATAAGGGCAGCCTCAGTAAAAGGTGCATAATTGTCCAACAGAGTTTGCAGCTTTTTCATTTATTTCTCAGCCAAGGGGAAGTAAGATTGTCTGCCACAAGAGGGAGCTACAGCCTTAGGAAAGGAAAACCCGCTCCTTAAAATAAACCAGGTATTACTTTGTACCCTGTTGAGAATAAACTCTTGGAAGTAAAACAACAAACATTTTCTTTCTTTCTTTCTTCTTTCTTTCTTTCTTTCTTTCTTTCTTTCTTTCTTTCTTTCTTTCTTTCTTTCTTTCTTTCTTTCTTTCTTTCTCTTTCTTTCTTTCTTTCTTTCTCTTTCTCTTTCCTTCCTTCCTTTTTTCTTTTTTTCTTTCTTCTTTTTTCTTCTTTCTGTCCATCTTTCTCTTTCTCTCCCTCCCTCCCTTTTTTATTTTTCTCCTTCCTCTCTCCTCCTCTCCCCTTTCCCTCTTTCTACCTTTCTCTCTTTCTCTCTCCTTCCCTTCCCCACCATTAAGTAAGAAATGGACACAATTTATTCTTTTTAACCAGATTACACAGCCATTATTCTTTTTTTCCCCTTCTTCCTTACCTCCACTTCCACTTTCGTAAAGACCTGGCACAAAGTCAGTACTAATGCCTGTTTGCTGAAAAACAGAAAATATTTACAAGGTTGCTTTCTAGCATTCGGATTAATTCCTCTAAGACTTCACTTAGCAACTGTTGTAGAAATGATTAAACAATTGGGCCCAGTCATGTGGGTGTCTCAATTTACAACCACAATGATTAACAATAGAAATTCTGGTCTGCTGTTGTACTCCAGATGATAATGGGGAGAAGGGGGAGGAGGAGGAGGAAGAGAAGGAGGAGGAGGAGGGGAAGAGGAGGAGGAGGAAGAGGAGAGAGAGGAGGAGGAGGAGGAGGAGGAGAGGAAGAGGAGAGAGAGAGAAGAGGAGGAGGAGAGAGAAAGAAGAAGAAGAGAAGGAGAAGAGGAAGAAGAAGAAGAAGAAGAAGAGGAGGAGGAGGAGGAGGAGGGGAAGGAGGAAGAGGAAGAGGAAGAGGAAGAAGAAGAAGAAGAGGAGGAGGAGGAAGAGGAGAGGAGGAAGAAGAGGAGGAGGAGGAGAAAGAGAAGAAGAAGAGAAGGAGGAGGAGGAAGAAGAAGAAAAGAAGAGGAGGAGGAGGACTGTCAGGTCTTTGGTGATCTCTGAGCTTGGACGTTTTGTTGCAGACATTTCATTACCCAACTAGGTAATATCATCAATGCTAGAAGGGAGGAGGAGGAGGGGAGAATCACCATCTCCATCATTACCACTATTACCAATTGCCACCACAAACCCTTTGATCCGTGTAACAATTTTAAAAAGGCAACAATGCTCAAAACTGTTGCCTTGAACTAACCCGCCTAACACAAATAAGTCTGTAGAATATTTGGAAGGATTTGACTTACAAGCTGTATCCCTGCCAGGTCCATGTCACGGTATCCTGGAGGGATTAAATGAAAGGGAAAAAGAGAGAGAGAATTTATTCGGCAATAAGAAGACACGGTCACAAAACGGATCAAGGCTGGGAAGTCAAGTTTTTTTCAGTGGCAAGCTGGAGGCTAGGAAGAGAAGGAGGGCAGAGCTGTGTCTTTTGAATAAAAGTAGCCACAAACAGCTTCTGAAGGTCTCTACCAAATCTAAGGACAGAAAGATTGGTTGGGCAATTTTGCAGAATTATTCAAGGGACAAAGAAAAAAAAAACTTTTTTTCTTAAACAGACAGGAGTCTCTCAGCCACAACAGATACGTTGCTGACGTGGTCATCAGTGACTGAATTTTAATATCAGAATTTTAATTTTAATGTCAGATGTCAGGGAGGTTAGAAATCCCCGGGGAAGTTAGTGCTCAACTTACGACCATAATGGAAGCCTGTCCATCGCTATCTTAATTCGGGATGGTTGCAAAACAAGTCAGTCACGGGACCAATTCAAATTTTACAACTGTTTTTGTGGCAGTCATTAAGCGAACCAATGGTTCGCTATGGATAAGATTTGGCTGAAAATCGGAGGGGTAGGGTTTCAGTAAAATTGTCGTAAAAATGTGATCACATGAGCACAGGATACTTCAAACAACATCCATCAACGTGGTTGTGTTGCCAAATGCTTGAACTGGGTCTGTGACTTTGAATCTGGGTCAAAGCAGCCCAAGGTGGGCCCGTTGTAACTTGGAACTGTTGCGAAGTAACTGGTTGTGAGTCGAGGGCCGCCTGTACAACTGAGCTAATTTCCCAGTGGCCAAAGTGAGCAGAGGAATTTCAAGATGGGAATCTCCTTTTGTCGAAATTCAAAACTTACCAACTTGTTAGGGTAGCGAATAACCACGGGCTGAACAGGAACCCCAGGAATAAAAGCTCCTGAAAATAAAAGCAATTTGTTTGAAGGTCCCTGCATCTTTAGCTTGGAATTCCAGCATTTGCAGAAAATAAATAATATCTATTAACCTCAAAATAAAATAAACGTGACAAAAAGTTTCCCAATGGCCACAAAATAGGCCATTTGTTTTATTTCACCCAGTCCCTCAATCTCTCTTTCCTTTGTGGCATCCTGTTAGAAATTTTGTTTACATAAAGCACCACATAAGTGGAGCACATCAAGTACACAGTCACCATGTGCTTTACTGCTCATCTATATTACTGTAATAGGAAACAGGAAACTCTAACACATCCATAACAAGCTTTGAAATGTCTGACATACATCCTGAACTGTTCCTTCTGCTTTTCCAAAATAAGTCATCCGGCAAAGCCTTCCTTACCTTGTTTAAATGTGATCAAACAGGATCGGTTTGTACACGTCCCTTCTGGGAAAATCATTACCTAGAGTACAGGGAAGAAGGAAAGAAAGCAAGAAAAAGAAGAAAAAGAAGAAAAGAAGAAAAGGAAGGAAGGAAGGAAGAAAGAAAAAGAAAATTCATGCTTAATTATTCTGCAAATTTGACAATTCCTGCTTCAAGTTTGACTGGGTGATAATTCTTCCAGAACGACCATACTGGAAATATTGTTTTTCTCAAATAAATAAATAAATAAATAAATAAATAAATAAATAAATAAATAAATAAATAAATAAATAAATAAATTTCTATAAGAGCAGCTGAGAAAGATCATCTTGATTTCTCTCTGAAGCTTAAACACTGGGACAGTTTAGTAAAATCCTTTTTATCGCCAGAGGGCACTCTAAAACCACACTGTTTTTTTCAGCTACAGATATTACCACTTTTACCAAATTTCTCCTAAAGGATAACCTCCAGATATATTAAGTTACCATTCTTAAAAAGAATTGGCAATTTTTAACTGCCCATGGCATCGATCCTATCTAACCCTCTCATCCCTCTGCCGTCCTCTTCTTATTTTGCCTTCCAACATCAGAGTCTTTTCTGATGAGTCCTTTCGTCTCATTAGTTGGCCAAGGTGTTTGAGCTTCAGTATCTGTTCTTCCAAAGGATAGTCAGGATGATTTCCTTTAGGAACTGGTGTCTAGCAGGGATAGAAAGTTCACCTTGCTTGATCACCTTAATTCATCTTCTTTTAATGACCACATAATCCCTTGCATTGGGGTGGAGTCTGAGCAACTGAATTGAGCTGAGTGTTTACTGCCCTTCCTGTCACCAATGCGGAGTTTTGTTCAGCAGATACATTCTCATTGTGCCCAGAGAGAGAAATATCTGCCTGTACCTAGGATCAAACTCACAGCCTCCCGATGGTGAGGCGAGAGCTCCACCTCTAGGCCACCGCACCACTCTTCACCACCTTAATTCCACTGTACAAAAAGTAAAAAGCACCTGAGGGCAGGACAAAAAGCAATGGATGGAAACTAATCACGAAGAGAAGCAACCTAGAACTAAGGAGAAATTTCCTAACATGAGAACAATTAACCAGTGGAACAGCTTGCTTCTAGAAATTGTGGGTGCTCCACATTGGAGGTTTTTAAGAAGAGATTGGACAGCCACTTGTCTGAAATGGTAGTATAAGGTTTCTTGCTTGGGCAGAGGGTTGGACTAGAAGATCTCCAAGGTCCCTTCCAACTCTGTTCTGTCCTGAATGCAATGCCGACCATGACTCAAGACCATTTATTTTGCTTTTTTTTTTTCTACTCTTAATTTGTCTTTATTTTTGCAAACAGGATGGAAGGAAATGCAAGTTTAGAGGAAACCAAAGGGGCAGATTCAGCTAAACTCAGCCACGGAGGATTTGCGACAACGCCACAACCTATTTCTTCCCCGAGGGAAAAAAAAAATAGTTTCAGCTATTTTCTGCAGGAAAGCAATCCTTCCTTCACCTGAAGCTTCTCGAAGCTCCCGAGAATATGAAGAAGCTATAGACATGGTACCTGAGGCCATTGTTCTCCGGAGGTCGCCCGTTTCGTTATTTCTTGGATAGTATGCTTCCGTGAATCTGGGTCATTCCGTGAGACCAACACGGGCTGGAGGGCATCAATGAACCCTATTCAAAAAATAAAATAAAATAAATTTGCAAAGAAAAAGGAAGGTGGGAAAAGTGTTGGTTTGCTCGAGTTTTGCTAGGACACTTACTTCCAAAAACGGGCACCCAGACATTCTCTTCCTTGGACACCACAGAAGGCAAGCCTGCCACGGCACAAACAATGCTGTCAAAGAAGCTCGAGTGCGGAGCGACCACTAAGATGGGTGCCTCTTGAGGACTAGCGACTTTTCCTTTGACTTTGACTTGGAAGCCCATCGCAAAGAACAAAGCTCGGCCAAAGACGAGGAGGCCGATGTTGGATAGCCTCCTTGCACGGAAATAAAGACAGATTTTTGTTTTTTGTTGGGCATTTTACCAGATAAGTATAACAAGGAGAAGACATATTTTATTTTATATGTATTTTAACTGCAGCTGGAATTGTATTTGCACAACAATGGAAAAGTGAAGAGATCCCAACAGATGATGGAGTGATTAGAAAAATATTAGAATGTGCAGAAATGGATTGTGGATAGAATGGATTCTATCATCGTGGAAAAAGTTTTTGGCAATGTTTTTCTTATCTTCCTCTTTAATTTTGTAGGTTTATAGTCCAACTCATTGTCTATTATTGCATTGAAACCCCATAATATACATATCTCTTCATATTCATATTCTATTATTTTTTATGTGATTTCCCATTAAAAAAAATTTTATTAACAACCATGGCCAAAATGGTCACAAAATCAATCACCGACACATGACGACTCGTGTAATGACCTCATTGTTTAACGACGGAAGCTTTGTCTGTAATTAAACACGAACAGGTGCAGCCTAAAGCCAGTTTAGGCTAGTGGTTAAAGTGGGGTGGGGAAAATTATGGCCCCTTTTGTGATTTATGGACTTCAACTCCCAGAATTCCTGAGCCAGCAATTCCACAGGTCGTAAAGGGGCCCATCCCCTGGTTTAAGGCCTCAGGCCAGAAACCAGGAGACTGTGAGTTCTAGTCTCACCTTAGGCACAAAGCCAGCTGGGGTGACCTTGGGCCAGTCATTCTCTCTCTACTCTAGAAAGGAGGCAATGACAAATCGCTTCTGAAATCTGGCCAAGAAAACTGCAGGGAGAAAAGTTATCCAGGAAGTTGTGCCAAGAATCAACACTGACTCAAATGTAAATATGAGTTGTGTGTACACACACACACACACAGAGAGTGAGAGTGAAAGAGAGAGAGGGGGGGGGAAGAGTTCACCTATTTCCCCAGCTCTTTAAGACATGGCTCCATGCAGAATTCCTCTCCCCGTTTCTACAGTGCAAATCTTGGAGCTATTTCCAACATTTACATATGCTTGACTGGCTCATTCAACCACTGCAATTCCCACCCGGTGAATCAATACATTCTAATTATTCATTTCCTAATTGTACATTTACCAAAACGTACAATGCAAACAAACCCACAAAGCTATGCGCATACAATATGAAAAGTGTACAGCTTGCAATTAAAAGCATAAAACAAGGAAGTTAAATTTTGGTCACCACAAAAAGATGTTGAGACTTTGGAAAAAGTGCCAGGAAGAGCATTCATATTTATGTATTATCGCAAGAGATCAGTTAGCAAAATTAAAAGAAAAGGGTGGATAGGCAGAAGGATAGAGTTTTGGAACAGATTTCTGAATGCTGCAGAAAATAAACATAATTATCAAATAAACATTGTTATCATTAACCCCATAAAATACAGGTCAGCTAACACTGAAACACACATCTTCCAATCTTAAAAACAAGAAGTTTAGAGTCATTCATTCGTTTTTCAAAAGGACAAAAATAAAACATCAGAGTCCTTTATTTATTTATTTGTTCAACTTGTATGCCGCCTTTCTCCGAAGACTCAACTGACTCCTTCAGTTCCGCTTGCTACAAACAGGACAAAATTAAGTCCAAGGTTGCATGCGTGTGAGTTTTTAATCCCGTTCTGCTCCAAAATGTTGGAATTGGGCCAAATCTCTTGTTATCGGAGCACCATTGGGTTCCTAAGCTACATTTACAAACACAAACAGGAGGTGATTTGTGTAGAGTCAACATATTTCCCATATTACCTTTTCCATCCTTGGAGGGGCACCGAGCCTTTTTCATTGGTGCAGGATGTCGCGAGAAGCACAAAAGGCCATACCAGCAACAGAAGGAGCAGGATGAACGCAACGCGTAGAGGGAGGAGGATAAGGCCCAATAAGAACACCTGAGAAAGAAGGAACAACGTTAAAGAGACATCTGGACAACCTCTGGAATTCTTGACTTCAGAAACATGAAGTCTCGGGTTAAATTTGTGCATCGGGGAACAATCTCGACTCAACCACTTCTTGCTGATCCAGTGTTGAGATCCAAGTTAGATCCGATCATGATGAGAGCCAACTCGGTCTGCTCGACTTCTGCAATGCAGAGAAACTTGAGAGTTTGCCTCAATATAGAGTGTCCTCAACTTAAAACAGTTTGTTTAGTGACCATTCAAGAATAGGTTTTCTCTTCTCAAAGACCTGTTGGGTCCACATTGGTCCAGGCAGATCAATATTTCCAAAAATACTGTATACTCTGTTCTTTTAAAGCAGTTTTTCTCAACCTTGGCAATTTTAAGGAGTGAGGACTTCAGCTCCCAAAATCCTCCAGCCTCCATGAGGATTCTGGGAGTTGAAGTCCAAAGAGCTGTTGTAAGGCCTGAGGACTTCACAGCTGACCTCTAGAGCCAAACCACTAGATTTGGTTTCTCTTAGGACAAAAGAAATTTTGTATTATATAATGCTTATTCCCTTCATCAAGATCCAGTCAACTCATTCAGTCAAACTTTACGTCCATTCCCAAGAGAATGAGTCCATGGTCAGTGGGCCTGTAGCCAACATCTGCTCCTTGCTTTGCCACATCTCTTTCTCCCAATATCTGTAGGATGGCATTACTTACTACAAGTTTGATGGGGCATCGTTCCAACAAGCAAAGGAGAGCAACAAAGAGGGTTAGGGGACTGTTGGCTAAACATATGAAGAATGATTGCAGGAACTGGGTATGTCTAGTTTAATGAAAAGAAGGACTAGGGGTGACATGATAGCAGGGTTCCAATATCTCAGGGGCTGCCACAAAGAAGAGGGAGTCAAGCTATTCTCCAAAGCACCTTAAAGGCAGACAAGAAACAATGGATGGAAACTAATCAAGGAGAGAACCAACCTAGAACTAAGAGAAATTCCTTGACAGTGAGAAGAATTAATTTGTGGAACAAATTGCCTCCTGAAGTCTGGTTGGAGGTTTTTAAAAAGGTACAGAACAGTCATTTGTCTGGAATTGTATTGGGCCTCTTAGTTCAGCAGGGGGTTGGATTAGAAGACCTCCAAGATCCCTTCCAACTCTGTTATTCTGTTAAACTCAAACCCCACGTCCAGCTACCTTTCTAATATTCCCATTTAAGGTTGTCTTTCCAAAACTTTTTTCAACACGTTTGCTGGATTAAAGCAGGGTATTACGCACTGGATCGTAAAATAACTCAAGCTAAAGTTAACAAGCTTGCATGTTGTAAAAATGAAGCTGACGGGTCCTTGAAACGATTACATGTTTTTGCAAACTCATCTTCTATAGTCATGCCTCTCTGGGCTAAGAGCCATCCATTCAGTTAAACTGGAGTAATTGACCACTAAGTATTTCTAAACACATTTTTTTTCTCTCTCAAGAGCCTTTCAAAAACAAATGCACAGGACTGGTTTATTTTTTTTCCTAAAAAGCAATGTTCCTGGAATGTATGCCAGAGAACTGAGAACTGAGTTCAGGAGCTGGTGAAAAGGAGTGTCAGATCACCTCACATTTGAATGTGGGTGATGCAATAACCAGCAGTCCAGAAGATGTCTGAGATGAGAAAGTTAAATTGCTATAGCTCAAAATGCATTGCAGATGGAACTCCTTGCCACAAGATTCCGTGAATATCAGTAACAGTAACAGAGTTGGAAGGGACCTTGGAGGTCATTTAGTCCAACCCCCTGCTCACGCAGGAGACCTATACTAGGGATTCGAACCCCTGAACTGCCGACCTTTCTGATCGACAAGCTCAGGGTCTTAGCCACTGAGTCACCTAGACAGGTGTTTTAACCAAAGTTTTGGGGAATTCATAAAGGAAGGGATTTGTCATCAATGAACGTTGAATACAGTAAATAAGTTACAGGCAAATATTGATTGGATAAAAACTTGGAAAACTTAAGTAACTTTTTAATGGCCTGGGTTAGGTCATAAATCATTAATCAACCACAGAGAGATATAGAAAACAATGTCCTGCTAAGAGTAATTTAATGTGCAACCAACTCTAGCAAATGTAAATTAATGTAAATTTCAGAAACCTTCTGAATAGTAAGATGCTTTGTTTCAGGATGTGTTTTCAGCTGGCAGATATCAGAAATAGTTAAATATTAATTTAACGGTACAGTAGTGGCCAAAAGTGTGGAAACCTTTTGAGAAAAGTATATTTTTGAGGTTTGATGGCTAATAACACCATTTTTTTCTGGAGTTTCAAGATAATCCTATTCCACTGCTGGAATGGCCTGGGAATAGCCCAGACCTTCACCCAATTGAAAATCTATGGAGCTAACTAAAGAAACTGGTTAGACAGAAGCGACCCAGCAATAAAACCCAGTTAATACAAGCAATAATTCCAATCTCGGTTTCACATTATAACAGCTGCAGAACTCAAAGACTTGGTTCATTCCATGGGAAGACGTTGTAAGGCCGTAATTCATGCTAAAGGGTTCCCAACTAAGTATTAACTGACATGGTGATCATTTTTGTATATCTCATTTTTTTCTACGTGTTTCACTTTTCTTCTTTTTATACTGCAACTGCTATTCTAATAGCAAATCCTTCATAAAAGTTATTGCATTACATTCTTGATTAAATTAACTTTCCATAGAACTTATGGTACTATTCTTAAAAAAAAAAAAAGTGGTGTTATTAGCTAGCTTTAGAAAATACACTTTTCCAAAGGTTTCCACAATCTTGGCCACTACTGTATACTAATATGCAGCCCAGCATCTTCACAAAAATGAAAGACTTTCTCAACGCTTAAGGCAGACCATATATTGATAATTCACGGCAAGCCTTATTAAAAGGAAGAGGCAGAAAGAGAAAGGAGAAAATATTCTTTGAAATGTTAGATGCGATTAGATCCTCCAAAGTTAAGTTCAGTGTTGGCTTAAATAAAGAGGTCACCAAGGCAAGGCGAACGTAAAGGAAAGAGCCTGGTGTTCCATATTTTCACATTTTAAAATATCAGATATGGGAAGTAATGACCCAGGATACTAAAAAGGAAATTAAATCATACCATTATCTTCCTACAAACCAGGTTTCAAAACAGGCACCGTTGCAAAAGGAAAGGTCAACGGAAGCTTTTATTCTTTATAATTTATTATTATAAATTTATTATTATTAATATATATTATTTATTAAATTTATAATCTATATAATTTAGAACTCAGGAGAAATTTCCTGACAGAATAATTAATCATGGAACGACTCGCCTCCAGAAGTTGTGAATTCTCCAACACTGGAAGTTTTTAAGAAGATGTTGGATAACCATTTGCCTGAAGTGGTGTAGGGTTTCTTGCCTAAGCAGGGGCTGGACTAGAAGACCTCCAAGGTCCCTTCCAACTCTGTTATTCTGTTTTATTCTAATAGAACAATTACTGCAAGCTGTATCGTTACCTGCAGCTAAAACAGCAGGAATTTTTTTCTCTTCCTTTTAAGATGATGAAGATATTGCTAAGGGGAATCCTATAATCACAGGTAATCCTCAATTTATAGCCACAATTGAGCCCAAAATTTCTGTTGCTAATTGAGACAGTTGTTAAGTCAATTTTGCCCCATTTTATGGCCACAGTGTCCCAGAATCCCTGCAATTGTTAAATTAGTCACATGGCTGTTAAGTTAATCTGGCTTCCCCATTGACTCGGCTTGTCTGAAGGTCCCAAAAGTGGATCAGATGACCTCACTGCAACGGTCATACATACAAGTCAGTTGAGAAGCGTCTGGATTTTGATCACGCAACCATGGGGATGATGCAATGGTTGTAACTCTGACAAATGATCATAAGTCACTTTTTTTCACTGCCGTTGTAACTTCAAAGTCACTAAATGAACTGTTGTAAATTGAGGACTACCTTCAAATAAGTATGGGTATGGATTTCAACTCCCAGAATTTACAAATTATTATGAAGAGTGTGGACTTCAGCTCCCAGAATTTACAAATTATTATGAAGAGTGTGGACTTCAACTCCCAGAATTTACAAATTATTATGAAGAGTATGGACTTCAACTCCCAGAAATTGCAAATTATTATGAAGAGTATGGACTTCAATCCCAGAATTTGCAAATTATTATGAAGAGTATGGACTTCAGCTCCCAGAATTTACAAATTATTATGAAGAGTATGGACTTCAACTCCCAGAAATTGCAAATTATTATGAAGAGTATGGACTTCAACTCAGAATTTGCAAATTATTATGAAGAGTATGGACTTCAGCTCCCAGAATTTGCAAATTATTATGAAGAGTATGGACTTCAGCTCCCAAATTTATAAATTATTATGAAGAGTATGGACTTCAACTCCCAGAATTTACAAATTATATGAAGAGTGTGGACTTCAGCTCCCAGAATTTACAAATTATTATGAAGAGGTGTAGACTTCAATCCCCAGAATTTGCAAATTCTTGGGAGAGTTTGCGAGATGCACCATATCTATTTGTAACCTGCAGCTAAAAGCAACCACTTGTTCCTCTTCCTTCAAAGATAATACTTCTCTGATGGAATGCAGATTGCTCACAAGGGAGATTATGAAATGTCCTTCCGGCTGGCAGATGTCCAGGTCTGCCCAATCTTCTGCCTAAAACAAACTTCAGATCCGAGACGGGAGGATTGAAGGATGCCAAAGGGTGTGTCCCGAGACAATGACACATTTGCAGCAAGAAAATACCGTTTCATAGAGTACATAAGACAGGTTTTGAATTGCTTTGCTCCTGAAAATGTCCAGAAGGCATTTTTAAGAACAGCTTGCTTGTGGCTGGTTTTGACCTGCTTTTATATATATATTTGAAAAATATTCATATAAATTTGATAAACTCGGAATTAAATGACTCCTGTATTGCTTAAAGGAAAAGTATATTATTATATATATACATATATCATTAAGTGTTGGACCTTATGATTCTTGATGAACGTATCTTTTCTTTTGTGTACACTGAGAGCATATGCACCAAGACAAATTCCTTGTGTGTCCAATCACACTTGGCCAATAAAGAATTCTATTCTATTATATATATAATTATTATACTCTTCCTTTAAGCAATACAGGAATCAAATAATTCATATAATTCCGAGTTTATCAAATTTAGCAAGTTTAAGATACATGGATTTCAACTCCCAGAATTCCCCCCGCTGGCTGAGGAACTCTGGGAGTTGAAGTCCATACCCTTCAAACTTGACAAACACCGTGAAGATTTTGCAAAGATTTAAAAAGTTACAGAACCTGAGAAGAATGTAAAGCTTATGAAAGGGTAAAAGAAAAAACATGAAGAATAACAGAAAGAAGAAAAAGAACGATATTTAAGGAAGTAAGCAGCAATTGCCATATGTATTTATATCCAGTATTTTTTTCTCTTTTTTGTGAATGGTAAAATATCCCGTCATGTTTTCCACATTTCCAGTCATTAGAAGTAGCCAGATTGTTGGGGGCAATAGGCTGACCCTGTAAACTGCTTATAAAGGGCTGTAAAGCACTATATAAGGCTAAGGGCTATTCTCCTCCCTCCCTCCCTCCCTCCCTCCCTCCCTCCCTTCCTTCCTTCCTTCCTTCCTTCCCTTAGAGAGGCGGTTTGAGTCAGCATCTGGGTTCTCATTTTACCCACCTTGGAAGGACGGAAGGGATATATATATATATATATATATATATATATATATTCAAGAGAAAACTTTTTTCTTTTTTGCATTTATTTGATTTTTCTTTTCCTTCAGAGTTTTTAACTTGGTGCAAGGACTTTGTGGTTAGGCAGCTGGCAAGATTTTAAGAATTTAAAACTTTCTGGGAGAAAACAGTAAAGGCTTATCTGAAAGCATTCAAGAATGTGGGTTTACTTTCTTAGAATATCAGGTTATTCCTGCTTTTGGAAAAAAAAAAAAAAGTCACAAGCTAAGAAATGGGGGAGGAAAGGACAGCTTTGTTAGAATTAAATCTTTTAAAACTAGCCAACCAGAGTTTTGAGTGGTCCGGGCAATATATAGCTAATATAACCAACAAAACTAGCAGCATTTTAATGAATTTTGGTTTTGCTACTCATCAACTGTACAGGTAGACCTCTACTTCCTACAACGGTAGTGAAAAATGGATGATTTTTCACACTATAATTACTGTAGCAAGGAAGGTCGTAAAAAGGGGTAAAGTTCACTTAACAACCATCTCACTTAGCAACACACACAAAAATTGGTCTCAATTGTGGTCATAATTCAAGGACTATCTGTATTCTCACCCAGCTTTGTTTTCAAAAATTTCCCTGCCAGAATTTAGGCTGAGTCAACCGATTCTAATCACATGGGAAAGGAAATAACGGACCAGAAATGATTCCCTCTTTCTGTAAACTCTGTTTAAGGCTAGTATTTGTACAGCTCAATTGTGAACCAAGACCTCAACCGAGATAAATCTCAGTACAAGCAGGGGAAATCCTGACTGCAGAGATTAGAAGCCAATAAATTTCAGCTGTCAACAGAGCAAAGGAAACCATCTTCATAGCAACTGATTAAAACTAAACTGATTACAACTCAGTGTTTGGAGCCCGACTTGCAAATACAGAATGAGTTGTTTTAAAAGAGAGGTAGACCCATCCAACTTCCACAGCAATTCCTGTTTAATAAGTTCTGCTTGCTACTAAACGAGGAACATCCTGTCCTCTTGGGTATAAACATTTGCAAAAGGAGAAGTTCTAAAAAAAAAAAAAACATTTGCAATTGAGAAATGGGGAAACTAAGACCAGGATAAAACCCAAGTCAGAGATAAACCTACATTACAGACAACCACTGAGCAGGCATTACTGTCCAGTCTACTGTAAATCTGCTTATTCTATCAGGATTTTTTTTTAAAAAAAATAACATGTTAAATATTAAATTTAGGAGTTCTGGAATTCAGATCTTGTTCTTCGAAGCGTCTGGGTTTTGTTTCCTTCCTGTCTGTTCTTTACCAAAACAAGAACATTTTTCACATTCACTTCCGCGCCTATGAAATTGTAGGAAAAGGCACTTATTTCATAATAGGGTTGCAAGAACAAGTAAGCAGGAGGGGAGAGCAATTTGGAGAGAAAAAGTTTGCACTGTCCTCAGGCAGAAGTGCAACAGGTGCAGCCCTCCTCGTGAGCAAGCTGCAGAAAGGATATTTGGTTTAATCAAGTCTTCTTTTTAAAGAGTGAAGCAAGGAACATCAATCAAAAGGCTATTCATCATCATGATATGGAACCTCCACATGCTGAAGCAGTCTATCTGTTAGTTTCTACCTTTGGGGGGTTTTGGGTGGTTTTTTTAAAAAAAACAGAACTTTAGACCAAATTCCAGCAAAGCTTCTTGGCAGATTCTTGCACAAAAGACATATTTTTGAAAATAGACATGCTTTGCAAATGGAAAGTTGCCATATGCAGCTACAAAAGTGGAACTCAAACCCTGCGAGGAAGGACTGAAAAATAAAGACCGGCTGAACAAGATCTGGAGAAAAAACTCAGTACGATTTGACTCTCTCTCTCTGTCCAGAGTCAGCGGGAGCTACAAATTTAATAAATATATGAAAAGTTGTTCTGGCCTAGAACAACAGAACAGACTTAAACGAGGAGCTAAAACAGACAAAATAATTTTTGCTGTCTGTGTATCATTTTTCACTCCATCTTTCTCTTTTTTTCTGTTTTTTTATTGCACTTTTCATTTTTTTTCCCTCTCTCTTTTATTTCTTTCCATCATGTGGTCTATTTGTAGTTTATCACAGCCATTGAGGTTAAAACTCTCAAAATTATACATTCAAGAAGAGACAAAGCCACCTCTAAGGAAGTTGCTGGGGCTGCCCTCCCCACTTCAATTGCTGGCCAGAGCCAGAGGGCTGGACTAAATGACCTTTAGAACCCCCACACAACTCTTGAGTTCTATAAAAAAAGGTTGGGGGAGAGAAATCACCAGAGCCATTGAGGAGGGGGGGGGGCGCTTCTTAAGCAAACCCAAAGAGTACACAACCCTGCCCCACACAACTTCAACTTTACGCTAAAAGCTTTTCTAACCCCAAAAAAGGAACTATCCTAATTCAAAACAATTTTTAAAAAAAAATTCTCCTGCAAGTCAAAGCCTGACTAGGTAGCTCAGTGGCTAAGACACTGAGCGAAAGGTTGGCGGTTCGAATCCCTAGAACAGGTCTCCTGGGTGAGCAGGGGGTTGGATTAGATGACCTCCAAGGTCCCTTCCAACTCAGTTAACTATTAATGTCTTCCTCCCTCCCCTCTATCTCCCTTAACCCAATTACCCACCGCCCAAATTGCAACGCAACCATCCATCCATCCGACTTACCGGCTGCGAACCCTTAACCAACTTCTTGGAAGTTGCCTGCACGGCGCCTTCCTTTAGGCTTCCAGGGAGTCTCCCCATATCCCACCTCCCCGCCGCCGTTTTCAGCTGCGTTTCGGGCTTTGCAGGTGACACGGAGCCATCCAGGGTATATTTAGGGCATTCCAAGGAAAGCCACGAACGAGCCAACAGAGAAGTCTTCCCCGACCCCCCATTTCCAGAGATAGGATTCCATTTCACACCTCTACCCCAGGAGTTCAGCGCAACTTTCTAACGCCGGGAAGGAATAAAACGCAGAGCGTCGCAATTAATCCCAGAAATAAAGGAGAATGTTTGTAGGCTCAAAAGTTGAAACGAGGGGTCCCTTGGGGGGGTTCCCTGAGGTGGGTGGGTTTTCTGGCAGATGCTCCATGACCCAAACTAGGAAACATTATCAGTTATCTAGGTTTGGGTCATGAAACCTCTGCAAAATAATAATAATAATAATAATAAAAAAATACCCACCCAGCTCAGAGAGCACCAAGGACCCCACAGTCCTCCTCCTCCTCCACTCCTCACACCCCACTCCCTTCTGGTATTGATGATGTTACCTAGTTGGGTCATAAAACGTTTGGAAGAAAACCACTCAGCTCAGAGAGCACCGAGTATCCCACAGTTTTCCTCCTCCGCTCCGCACACCCCACTCCCTTCTGGTATTGATGAGGTTACCTAGTTGGGTCATAAAAAGTCTGCAAGGAAACCGCCCAGCTCAGAGAGACACCCCCCTCCCCAAAGGAACCTCTCAAATCCAGAAGCAAAACGGTACCAAGTGACCAGGAACCACCTTTGGACCTCCCTCTAGCCTTACTCCAGATCGGGGCACCAGCTTCTCCCCCCCCCCCACCCCACCCCACTTGTCCCCACCCCCACATCCCCTTCCTTTTGTCACCTATACCCCCGTGCGCTTTCCTTTACGCACCTGCCCAAGCGCTCTTCCCTCCCGATCCCTCCCCGTCTCCAAACTAACCCAGGTTTTTTCCTTGGCGTCCAGACGCCTCTCTTGCACGAAGGGGTTGAGCACCAAGGGGGAGGCCAGCGACTGTTGCCTGGGCAGGAGGAAGAGCCGCTGCTGTTGCTGCTCCGGCGGCGTGAGCGAAGGCAGCTTCCCCATGTCGCCAGCTGGCAAGGCGCTTTCCAAAGTCGCCACCGCCGCCGCTTCTGTGCAAAGCAGCATCGGGACCTTGAAAAAGGCGCAGCTGGTGCCGGCAGCGCCCCTCCCGGGCTCCAAGGCGCTTGCGCGACACACCTCGACCTGACCCGGCCCTGGGCGGGTTGTGTGTGTGTGTGGGGTGGGGAGGCGAGAGGTAAAGGTGGAGCGAGGGAAGCCTTTCCCCCCCACAACTCCAACTCCGATTTTCTGCGATTTTTCCTTTTGCAGGATGAGGAATTTGGCTCCTGGTTGAAAGGCAGCGGAGGGAGAAAACCTAGATCTGTAAAAAAAAAAAAATTGTAACTCTTGGTTGCCCCGGAGCTCCATTCTGCAAGGAGAATAATGTAGGAAATTGTAGGGGGAAAAAATTGTAGGAATTCTGTAAGGAAAATATTTGGAAGGCAGGTGAGAAAGCCTCCCGAATGCTCCAGAGAAGTTTGGCTTCTCCAAAAACTCCAAAAACTCTTGACCCAAAGTGAGCACCTACCCCTTTCCTAGAGGAATGAAATATTTTGGGAAATATTAAAAAGGCAGAATATTATGTTTCTCTGGATGAGAAATGGAGAAGCATGTTTTAGGGACAAAGCAGCTCCCACCTTCCTGCCCCCACCCTTTTGTTAATGGGCCAGAGGCAGAAACTCAATCTTTGTCAATGGACCTCATCTGCAAGACAATGGGACCCATCTAGGACAGAAACTGACACATGGCACCTGGGAAGATCATCAGTCAGCAGGGCTAGCTAAGACCCCCACCCCCTGGAAGTCTGAAGACCAATCCTGGGCCCCAGGAAGTTCAAAGCCAGAGAGAGCATAAAACCCGGAGACTCGCTGTATCTGCCCTTTTTTCTGTTCAGGAACTCAAGCCATGTGATCCTGACCACCATTAAACCATCTTTCCAAGGAGTCTCCATGTTTCCAGTGTCTTTTTCCCCACTTGGAGCTGAACCCAGAAGGATATTTCTTCCTACAGTCTATTTTGCATATTCTTAACAGCAGCCAGGATTGTATAGGCATAATACTGGGAAAATGTAGAAACCCCTACAGATGATAATATAATAATAATAAAAAAATTCTGGCATGTGCAGAAATAGATAGGTTAACTCTAAAAGCCAAAGGAAAAAAAAGATTCTGAATGTTTTATAACGTGGGAACTATTCTACAAATGGTTGGCAGATACAGAGGTTAGGAGTGGATTTGTGTGAAATATGGACTACATGAGAAAGAAAAACCAATGAGTAAATATTTTGATGGCTAGATAATTGATACCATAATGGAAGATAGTATACTTTTCACTAACGATTGATATTATATTATATGTACATGTATATTGATATTATATGTTTATATGTACATGATTAAAATGCCTGTGATGATGTTTATAATTTAACATTTTGGACACCTAGAAAACACACTGTTCAATATAGAAATGAAATCTGTGATATAAAACAATAAAAAAAATATTTATCAAACCCAAAGACTGAAGAAGGAGACCTTGGCAACTGAAGGCAGCAACTTCCTCTTTGGATTTGAGCTGCTGCTGATGATCACAACTCTGAGCTCTGGAAGACTCACCCTTAGGTGTGAACAGGAAAAGGAAGTGGGAAAGGGTTGTTCAACTTTCTCCAGATACTTCTTTCTCTGCTGATTCAGGCACACCACACTCAAGCCCTAAAAATAGCAGTTCCAGTCGTCTAGGCCTTTTTGGGAAAAAGAACAAAACTTTATTTTTTAGATGAGTTGGCAATTGTAACAGCTGGGTCTCTGAATTTTTTTTTTATTTATTTTTTTTGCTTTCTCAGGGAGTGAGAAATACCCTTGTGTGATATTAACAGAGTCATTACCTTGATCACCTGCATTTCAGCAGGTAACAAAACCATCTAAAGCCCTCCAGGAGCAAAAAGCAGAAAACATAAAATAGCAAGGTGGTTTAAAAAAAATTATGGGTTAAGGTTATATTTTTAAGGTGGTTTTTTTTTAAAAAAAATACTTAGTAATTAAATCAGCCCCAAAGGAAGTAAATAATAAATAACAAGACTCGTCAAATTGAAAGTTATTGACTTGACAACAATGCTCAATAGGTCCAAAGCTATAGCTGTGACCTTCTGAGTAATGCCATCAATTAAAAAAAGGTATGCCTCCATCACTCCTTGACTATCTAGATTCAGAAGCAAAGGGATGAATAGCTTGTCCAAAATCACTGGTTCAAAATCAGTTTGGCATTTCAGGGGTTGCCACAAAGAAGAGGGAGCCAAGCTATTCTCCAAAGCAGCTGAAGGTAGGACAAGAAGCAATGGGTGGAAACTAATCAAGGAGAGAAGCAACCTAGAACTAAGGAGAAATTTCCTGACAGAACAATTAACCAGTGGAACAACTTGCCTCCAGAAGTTTTGAATTTTCCAACACTGGAGGTTTTTAAGAAGAGATTGGACAACCATTTGTCTGAAGTGGTGTAGTCCTGCCTAAGCAGGGGGTTGGACTAGAAGACCTCCAAGGTCCCTTCCAACTTTTCTATTCTAGTCTATCTTTGCCCTTCAACATCAAGCACTGGCCATTGTTCCCTTTGATTGTATTAGGTAAAGGTAAAGGTTCCCCTCGCACATATGTGCTAGTCATTCCCGACTCTAGGGGGCGGTGCTCATCTCCGTTTCAAAGCCGAAAAGCCAGCGCTATCCGAAGACATCTCCGTGGTCATGTGGCCGGCAGGACTCAATGCCAAAGGTGCATGGAACGCTGTTACCTTCCCACCAAAGGTGGTCCCTATTTTTCTACTTGCATTTTTCACGTGTTTTCGAACTGCTAGATTGGCAGAAGCTGGGACAAGTAGCAGGAGCTCACCCCGTTACGCGGCGCTAGGGATTTGAACCGCTGAACTGCCGACTTTTCGATCGACAAGCTCAGTGTCTTAGCCACTGAGCTACTGCGTCCCTTGATTGTATTAGAAAAGGATAAATACACAGTGCTGCCAAAAGCTTCAGTTTCCCGATGAGTGTCTTGAAAGTAATAGGAGTGCAACCTTCTTGGACTTTTAAGTGTGGAGGAAGAGAAAAACCTTGAAAGGCCCAGTCTTCCCACCAGAGTTAGGAGCAACTTTCAGGTTTGTATTTGCCTTGATGGAGCAAGAGTGGAGTTCTTCTCTGGAAACCCACCTGCTGAACATCAGAGGTGCTGTCCAGGGTGCTACTTGAGCTTTGCTTGGCAGACTCTACATCTCATGGGGTTAACCTGCTTCATGCAACCTTCAGACACTCTGGAAGCCATGGAATTTCAAAAAGGAGAAGGAGTGGATAGAACCGGGTCAGAGAAACTACACGTGACTTAGGTCAATTTCCATTTCATTTAATGCACTTCCTGTTCACTCAATGCATCCAGGAGGACCACCTCCAATAGATTTAACGATGCGTCCTTTTTTATCATGTTAAAAAAAAATCATACTCTTGGAGCAGATTGATGGAGAGACTCAAGATTACATGTCTTCAGGCTGATGAACCTATACGAAAGCCCCTTTACAAGAGTGGATGGAATATCTTTTTTTTTTTTAAGTTTTCAATCTCAATACATGAAGAGTGTGGCCTCTGGTTATAGTTCATTTTGTTACAAACAACAACAACAATAATAAATGAAACATGTCACAGTGATGCCCATTGTCTTCGGGGCACTTGGTACCATGTCCAAGAATTTTACAAAACGCATCAAGAAATTGCAGCTTCCTGCAATAACACCAGCGGAACTGCAAAAAACTGCACTACTCGGAACATCGTACATCTTAAGAAAGTACTTGGTTGATACCTAGGACGCTGGCAGCAACCCGTATCAACCACTAGCACCAGTCAATGGTATTTGTGACACATTTTTAAATGTCCAGTTGACTGAGTTTCATGTTTAATGAATAAAATAATGAAGAAACTTAAAGAATTAAAGGGGAATCTTCAGAGAGATGGAAAGGGTGCGTGGGGGAAAAGACAGTCATTTGAAAACCTTGAAACCTTCAATTTCATCATTAAATAATAATATTTAAACATTTAGACAAACATACAATATAATAAAAGCTAGAATATTATTTCCAACCCAAACAACTCAATTAAATTTGCAGAATAATGTCATGGAAAGTGATCCTTCATATGCTGAGTGTCTATAAAGCAAAGTCTTTGCCAGTTGGATCTTGGCCTTAAATCTGTAAAATAATGTCTCTTGCTGGCTGAGGAATTCTGTGAAGTTAAAGTCCACAAGCCTTACAGTTGCCGAGGTTGGAGACCCTTGACTTATAGAGCCTTATTTCCAGTTCTCAAAATAGCTGGGAATGATGATCTCTGGGTAGCCCTGTACCAGTGTTCCTCAACCTCTGCGATTTTAAGATTTGTGGACTTCAACTCCCAGAATTCCCCTGGCTTAAGATAGGAACTGGGCCTATCTTGAAATCGCCAAGGTTGAGAAACACTGCCCCCCAGCGACAACAAATCACACGTTGCTAGGGAATCTTGCATCAGTCCTGCAGATGTCACTCTTTGCTCATTTTACTTGCTCGAGCCAGGGAGCCCAGCTGCAAACAATGGGATAAAGAGGATGTCAAACTGATCTGAAAGCAGCTGGAGGATTCTGGGAGGTGTAGTTTTCCTCTCCTGCAAACCCCTGGATTAAGGAAGGCGGCTTTAGAAATACGCTGTCTTTGCTGCAGACTTCAAGCCTCCTGGGCTTGAAGTTTGTTATTGGAATATACAAGTAGGATGGCAGAATCTTAAAACTTGATAAGGACAATTGCTCAGAGGGGGAATCCAAATTCAAGCATCCCCAAGAGGTGGGAGATGATAATTTGCAGCAGTGGTGAAATCCAATTTTTTTTTACGACCGGTTCTGTGGGTGTGGCTTGGTGGGCGTGGCTTGGTGGGTGTGACGGGGGAAGGATATTGCAAAATCTCCATTCCCACCCCACTCTAGGGCCAGCCAGAGGTGGTATTTGCCGGTTCTCCAAATTGCTCAAAATTTCCGCTACCAGTTCGCCAGAACCTGTCAGAACCTGCTGGATTTCACCCCTGCCACAAGTGCAATTAAACGTCACAGAATCGTGACGCAAAAATTGCCTAGTTTGACACCTGTGGAGATTCTCCGTCATCCAGGTCATAGTTGTCTCAAAGGTGTTTTTTTCTTCTTTTCTTCAAAAGCCAACTGGACTGTTTTTTCTTGGATGAAGAAGAAAACATTTCCCTTCTCATCCAAGAAGCTTCATTAGTTCTTGTTTATAGCCTTCCATTCCTCCCAGCTATCAGAATGGTTAAAGCTTCTTGGATGAGAAGTGAAACACCTTCTTCTTCCTCCAGGAAAAAAAAAACCAGTTCAGTTGCCTTTTGAAGAAAAAAACCCCCATCTTTGAGACACTCACTTTCACATCCTAATTACATTTCATTCTGTACTTAGCTGCATGTATATAAAACTCAGTTAACCTTGCAAACAAAGCCTAAATTCCCCTCTGGAATTGTGAGTTATTTTTCAAATATTTTCTGAAGTCTGCAAATCAGGGGTGAAATCCAGCAGGTTCTGACAGGTTCTGGAAAACGGTAGTGAAAATTTTGAGTAGTTCGGAGAACTGGCAAATTCCACCTGTGGCTGGCCCCAGAGTGGGGTGGGAATGGGGATTTTGCAGTATCTTCCCCCAGGAGTGGGGAGGGAATGGGGATTTTGCAGTATCCTTCCCCTGGAGTGGGGTGGGAATGGAGATTTTGCAGTATCCTTCCCCTGTCACATCCACCAAGCCATGCCCACCAAGCCAGGCCCACAGAACCAGTAATAAAAAAATTTGGATTTCACCACTGATTTGTGGCCTTCGCTCTTGTTAATTTCTGTGCGGGCCAAGCTATGCAATCTGAAATTTAAAAACTTACCTACTGCAACAATCCAGAAGATCTGAAATTGCTAAAGAAAGGAGCCACGTACGTTAGAAAGATGTCTGTCCCGTTGCCAAATTCTCGGCCGCGGGCATTATTACCATTAATTATTCTTTCAAAGTTGAGGTTTATGTTGGCTCCAGGAATAGGCTCTTTGTAGCCAAACAGGTTAGTCATCGTCTGGAACGAGACAGTTTTCTTTCCCTCTGGAAACACGTCTTTGAGGCATGGAATTGGACAATGAGAAGCTTTTAAGAGAATTCCTGGAAACAATGCCCCATTTTATTGAGGAGGGTAGAAAAGTTGATTGTTGGCTTCTTCATCCTGCTCTCCTAGATATGCTTTCTCCTGGCTGGCATGAAGAAAAGGTAGAGAAAGTGTTGGGAAAGAATTGGGAATTCATGGGAACTCCATTTTGTAGTCCTCCATGAGGACTACAAAATTACGTTTAGTTAGATCAGGGGTCTCCAAACTTGTCACCTTTAAGATTTGTGGACTTCAATTCCCAGAATTCCATGTTGGCTGGGGAATTCTGAGAATTGAAGTCCACAAATCTTAAAGTTGACAAGTTATAGAATAACAGAGTTGGAAGGGACCTTGGAGGTCTTCTAGTCCAACCCCCTGCTTAGGCAGGAAACCCTACACCACTTCAGACAAATGGTTATCCAACATCTTCTTAAAAACTTCCAGTGTTGGAGCATTCAAAACTTCTGGAGGCAAGTTGTTCCACTGATTAGTTGTTCTCACTGTCAGGAAATTTCTCCTTAGTTCTAGGTTGCTTCTCTCCTTGATTAGTTTCCACCCATTGCTTCTTGCTCTTCCCTCAGGTGCTTTGGAGAAGAGCCTGATTCCCTCTTCTTTGTGGCAGCCCCTGAGATATTTGAACACTGCTATCATGTCTCCCCTAGTCCTTCTTTTCATTAAACTAGACATACCCAGTTCCTGCAACCGTTCTTCATATGTTTTAACCTCCAGTCCCCTAATCATCTTTGTTGCTCTTCTCTGCACTCTTTCTAGAGTCTCCACATCTTTTTTACCTTGTGGTGACCAAAACTGGATGCAATATTCCAAGTGTGGCCTTACCAAGGCATTATAAAGTGGTATTAACACTTCATGTGATCTTGATTCTATCCCTCTGTTTATGCAGCCTAGAACTGTGTTGGCTTTTTTGGCAGCTTAGAGACTTAGAGGCAGTTAGTTAGATTTCTAGTTGGGTGTCCTTGACCAAGATGTCCTCCACCTCTTTCAAAATTAATTCATTGGATTAATTGGATCAATGATTATGTATTGATTGTGGAATGGATAATCCCACCTTTTGATTTATTCCAACATTCATGCTTCTAGCAATAAAATAATAATGCCAACTGTAAAGAGATAATTAAGACCCACAAAAATCAAAGCCAATGTTAACATCGGTCATTAAGGTAATTAACAATGAAAAGCTTGGCAAAAGAGATGTACTTCGACCAACTTCATAAATACTGGAAAACCTTTGGGAATGATAAAGACTGAGAGCCACACAGGAGAAGGACCGGTTAAACTTCTAGTAATGAGCTGTGAAAGTAATCAGATGAGACTTCTAATCTCCTTACACACTTAGAGCAGTGCATAAAAGATGACGGAGGGACAGAAACAACACTCTTCCCTTCTAAATCAAGACATCAAACAAGAAAAAGATTAACTCGTTGCAATTTCAGTATCCCAGTAACAGTTAAGCAGAAGGCATGGCCAGTATGCACCTTGATAAAGGTAAAGGTAAAGGTTCCCCTCGCACCTATGTGCTAGTCGTTCCTGACTCTACGGGACGATGCCCATCTCTGTTTCAAAGCCGAAGAGCCAGTGCTGTCCGAAGACGTCTCCGTGGTCGTGTGGCCAGCATGACTAAACACCAAAGGCGCACGGAATGCTGTTACCTTCCCACCAAAGGTGGTCCCTATTTTTCTACTTGCATTTTTTACGTGCTTTCGAACTGCTAGGTTGGCAGAAGCTGGGACAAGTAATGGGAGCTCACCCTGTTACGCGGCACTAGGGATTTGAACCGCTGAACTGCCGAACTTTCAATCGACAAGATCAACATCTTAGCCACTGAGCCACCACGTCCCCTTATGCACCCTGATAGGAAGCGGTAAATAAAGAGATGGAAATAAGTCTCCATCCACCCCACCCCATCATTGCACTTTCTGGAGTGATTCATAAGAATAACACTGTGGAACATTTGCATCCAGGCAGGAAAGGTAGACCTAGCCTGCACATGGAGATGGCAAGTGAACCGAGTCATTGGCGACAAACTCACTTCCTGTAGAACAATCAAAGAGAGGAAAGCCAGCCCTTATGGATGTTGAATGGAGGGAGGTGTGGTGGAATGTAGCCTGGATTCCCGGGAGGGAGGGGCTGCTTCCCAGAGGGCAAAGAAGCAGTTGAGTTTGGAATGTCTGGTAGGCAGGAAGAGCGTGAAGACTGACCCTCCCTGGCAGTTCAAGAATATATTTAGAGTTATGCGGATAGTGGCTTTAGTTTGGCAAGATTCTGTCTATAGGTGAAAAGAAATAAAAGACACTACTTTTAAGTAATATGCCGTTCTTGGTTCCTGGGCTTGACAGCAAGTCATGACAGCATTGTTGAAGTAGATGATTACGGATTATTGATATTGATATTATTGATTAATTGTTCTGACCCAGCTCCCCAAACACGACAAACCATCTGAAGTTAAGATTCTTTTATTAGGAGTGCTGGCAGCCCCGGCAAAAAATTTCTCTCTCGCCACAGGTTAACAAGTCCGTCCATCCAGAAGATGAATAGTTGTCTGCCACATCTATTCATCCCTGCCCCCTGTCTTTTATCCCCAGAGCTAGGGTGGGGCTTCGCTAGCAGTGGTGGTTCTTCCGTCCCAAGGACCGGCCCACAGATTTCCACTGCTCTCCTCTCCTCTGCCTTCGGTGCATCCACGCGTCAGGCACTGGACCCAGCTGTTCCTCCTCTTCCTCATCAGCCACCTCCAGATCTGGGGCTGTTGACTCACCATCTGAGGGCTGATGGACGGCCCAGGCTCCGCCTCTGTCTCTGTCTCTCTCTCTCTCTGCCAGCTCCATTCCCTCTTCCCTCTCGGAGCTCCCAGGTTGCCCTGAGGCTGACCCTGACTCCCATGCCTCCTGCCCCTCCTCTGATTTGGCTGCTGGAGGGGCCGGCGGCCGACAGGCCACAACAATTGATACCAGCTGATATCCAATCAACAACCAGCTCCTAGCGAACCCATGACTGATTTTGTTTTGTATCTCATCAATTGAGACATTCTGTACCAGCTTCGGCCAATTACATCTCCTGCAATCAAGATTTTGCCAGTGGTGTAAGAGACTCGATCATTGGCCCCCAACTTCAGACTTCAGAGTATCAGTCTGGTGTAATGGTGAAGGCAGCAGGCTAGAAACAGTGAAACTGTGAGTTCTAGTCCTGCCTTAGGCGTAAAAGCCAGCTGGCTGACCTTGGGCCAGGCAGTCTCTCCCAGCCCTAGGAAAGAGGCAATGGCAAACCACTTCCAAAGTCTTGCCAAGGACTTACAGTATCCAGGTAGTCACCACTGACTCAAAGTCAAAAAAACATCAGCATCGTGGCGAGGATTGTAAGATGATGCATTTTTAAGCAAAATTAAACCTCACACAAGAAAATACTAGCCTGGAATTCTCCTAAAATGAACCCCCTTCTTCCTCTTCCCCTTCCTTTTTATTTTATCTGCAATCCAAATGTGTACCCTTCATGCATAATTCTAGCACTTTGATGAACATTAGCTCTCCTTTGCAAGCCCCTCTCAACTCAGTTAAGAAACTGGACACTCACAGAAGATTTGGTTTTCTTCCTTTATTGGTAACACTGATTTTTGGTATGTACACTTTTCTTTTTTCTTAAAAATCCTTTTCTATGAACATCATCCCTCCATTGGGGTCTACAGTGGAAGGTTTGCATTGCCTGATGCTTTAAAATCTAACCGTGAGGAAATGGGTGGACGAGAAAGAGGAAGGAAGAGGAAGCCATCCCGGTACAATAAAGAGAAGAAAAATAAAACACGAAGCGTTCAAAACTTGGCCTTTCTTACAACATGTCAACTTCAAATTCATGGGTCACTCCATCTGTGTTTCTTTTAAGATCTGTAGACGGCAAAGTGCATGAAGCAAATGGCTGGTTTTAAGTAAAGAGATGCCTTTCTTTTTTTAAAAAAAAAAACCTTAGTCCTTGATTTACCATCATTCGTTTAGTGACCATTGGAAGTTACAAGGGCACTGAAGAAAAAAAAGTGACTGATGGCCATTTTTTGCACGACTGTTCCAGCATTCCCATGATCATGTGATCAGAATTCGGCTGCTTGGCAACTGGCATGTACTTATGACAGTTGCAATGTCCCGGGATCACGCAATCATATTTTTGTGACCTTCTGACAAGCATACTAAAGGGGGAAGCCCGATTCATTTAACAACCATGTCACTAGACCACTGCCATGATGCCCTTAACGGTGGCAAGAAAGGTCATAGAATGGGACAAAGCTCACTTTACAACCAATTTGCTTAGCAACATAAATTTTGGGGGTTCAATTCTGGTCATAAGTCGAGGGCTACCTGTAGCAAGTTTCTTCCCCCGTGACTTCATCGTGTTTCAATGCTTAACACAATATCCCCAGGCAGCCTGTGCCTTGCCTCGGCCTTTTTCGCAACGCCGTGGATAAAGAAACGGGAATCACAAACGAAGCACTCGGGAACGGCAGAGTTTAAAGCTCTTCTTGGAAAAAGCAAGGCCCCTTTGGGCGAATCTGAACCGAAACTGATAAGATTCCCCCTGCCCCCCAAGAAAATGTGGAAAGTTCAGAGGCCAAAATTCAGAATATAAAGTTCTCCTTTCCATAGTTGACTTACAGGTAAGTTGGAAAGCCTGAAGGCTTTTCAAAGGTTCTGTAATTGGAACTTTTTCAAGATTCGGGATGCTGGTATATAATTTCATTTCATGTCCAACCTGACTTGAAAGAACAAGACCTGTATATGGCTGGACTTGATTCTTCCAGGCTGTTAAAAAATAAAATAAAATTCTAAACCCTCCATTTTGCTTCTCTCTAAATTTAGAAGATTGGCATGTGTTGAAGCCACCAACTTCCTGGCGTGCTAACTTTCTACATTTAGGGGTATATTTTGATCTCTGCGTACGGTTTGCTAATGATTGCTTTCAAAAATGAGAACAAGATGGCCATGACGGTATCTTAGCAGTAGCTTTGCCAATCTGGAACGCTGAGCAATGACATCAGGCCTATATAGCTTAAATTTTGAGACGGAAGGAGAAGAAATGTCAGATCTAGGAATTCTGAGTTCTAAAGGCTTTTGAGAAGGAAGGATTTGATGGGACTTGCTTCCAAGTCACTGTCCTTTATCAGATGAAACCGTTGTGTCAAGTAGTGGTATTGAATAGGTTGGGCTGGTACCAGACAAGCCCCTGAATTAGGATATAGCTCTATTTCTAATGGTGGGGTAAGGCATAGGACTCTTACACATCAAAACAGATATAAATGGTTGGTTAGGAAAAGGGGGCGCTTTGCTCAGCAAGCCAGCCAGTCTGATTTCACATTGCCGACTTTCACAATCTTTAAGCTTTGATCTTCCATTTTCAGGTAGTACCAGTCCTTGAAAAAGTAGCTGTGACCTGCAAGGAGAAAACAACCTTTAGCAAGCATATATATAATCACAGTTCTGGGACTCGCTAGAGCAGGTGTCTGTATAACCTGGGAGTCAACTCAGTGGCTGGGTTTGATTGGAGCAACACAAAACCCATCGGCCACCCTACCACCCACCGTTCTCGTATGTTCATCGAAGCCTGGCACTCCACAAGCAATTCCATCAACAGACACATTGACCTACAACCAGCCTATGAACTCCCCAGGAATCCAAATCAACCACACAGCCAACCAGAGACAGCATCGACCGTCAACCAACCCACGCAACCCCCCTTCCGACCAGCAGTTCATCCAGTGGTGGGATCTACTGGTTTAATAACCGGTTCGCTGAGCATGCACTTTGCACGTGCACACTTTGTAGAAAATTGAACTTCCGTATTGCTGAGAGCAAGAAAACCAGCTGAGGAGTGGCAATCCACTCTGCCACCCCGATCAGCTGGGCTTCGGAAGCAGAAATATAGGTATGTACCGTATTTTTTGGAGTATAAGATGCACCTTTTTCCCCCTTAAAAGGGGGTGAAAATTTAGGTGCGTCTCATATACTGAATGTAGCCCCACCCACCCACTGGCCCCTACTCTTTGGCTTTTGCCCCCCAGCAGAAGCCAAAGCCCTTACAGCAAACAGCAAGAAAAAACAGCTCCTTTTAGCTTCAGCACAGCCTAATTAGCACAAGTTGATTGGATCAGCCTCCTGACTCTCAGCTATCTTGCTCTCAGCTGTTTTGGCCTCTGCTGCTTGCTGCAAGGAAGAAAATTTCTGGAGCAGATTTTTTTCCCCTTTGTGCTAATCAAGCGATGCTGAAAATGAAAATGAAAGTAAAGCAGGCTGTTTGCTGTTTGCTGCAAGGAGGCAAAATTGCTCAGAGGCAGAGGGAGATTTCTTTTTCTTCTTTTCCTCCCCAAAAAAGGTAGGTGCGTCTTATACTCTGGTGCGTCTTATACTCCGAAAAATACGGTATAATGCAGGGGCAGGTGGGTGGGCCCACTTCAAAGAAAGAGAGAACCGGTTCACTCACGGCTGAAAGTCAGAGCAAACGATTCGCCCGAACCTATCTGAACCGGTAGAATCCCACCACTGAGTTCACTTTCCAATGTCCCTGACCCATCACAAGACTCAATGATGATTCACACCTGACCCATCACAAGACCCTCACTTGACACCCCCACACCTGAAGCCCTTATAAACAGAAGAACACCGATACTGATATCCCCTCCACGGAAACTCCACTGAAGTTGTTACCCAGCCTGGTAACAAAACATTCAGGAAGCTCGGAGAATGAACCTTCACCTTCATAGGGAACCTAGATAAGCAACTGTTGTGTTGATAGATAAATCATGGTTTGGCTTACCACGATTCTACGATTCACAGATTAAGGTAAAATGACGTTGGGTTCCCCATCAACTACCAAGCTCTACTCTAGTGAAAACTAACGTAGGGAACTCTGTGACTCCTCTTCAATCACCATCTGGCCCCTCAAGTTTCTTCACGTTCCACAAAGATGTTTCAGGAGACCACCCTTCCACTTTCTTTCCCTTAAAAACTTTGGAAAAAACTTCCCCCTCCCCCAAATTCTGCCCCACTCTTATCTCCAGGATGGACTACAAATGGCCATCATTTCAAAGGTTACATCAAGTTTTGGTGACTCATGAACAAAAGTAAATATATGTGTCCCCGGGATAATATTGAAGAATCCAATCTGATTCGATCACCAGGAGCAAAAGTTTATTCTTCCAAGCTTTTGGGCTGGTGCTGGAGCCCATGCTCTGGGAACTTGTTTTTGTGACTTGTTGAAAGTCGCCCCTTTATGAGTAGGACTATTTGGGGCATACGGTTCAGCAGAAACTTACATGATTTAAAATATCAACTTTGTCCACATCTTTGAGTTCCTCTAACCATCACCAAAAAAAAAAAAAAGGAATCAGGTTTTTCTCCCAATCCATTCTGGAAATGGACTTTAGAGGCCACAAAAGATATAAAAGCTGCATCTTTGATTAGTTGTGCCCCAGGGAGGAAAGAATGGGAGATTTTTTGCTATGATTGATGGCTAGGCCATCTCCAACCCTACACGTAATCTATAAATGAGGGTTTAGCAGAATCGGTCTGTTGCAACTGTAAAAACTTGACGGAGTGAAGCCTATACTTTCCAGAGGCCAGTAAGAATCATATTACTGGAAATATTTTTTTTTCCTTCCCTTCTTTTTTCAAGCATGCCATTTTTTTTTTTAAAAAAAGGAAAAGATGGAGACAGAGGGTTAAAAGCTTGAATTTGAGCTTCCATCCTTCTTTCCCAACTCAACCCCTGTGAAAAGTTCTCAGCCATTTAGGAGATTCAGTTCAAAGGAGGTTTCTCTCTCTCACTCTCTCTCCCTGCCCCCACCCCACACATCTACTAATAAAGGCAGGATTCCTTAACCAGAATCTGGGCTGCATTAAACAGGGGGTTAGGATTACTCTGCTGGAGACGAGTTATTCAGACAGCCCAGCAAAGTTCAGCAAAGGTCACCCTTCCTAAATTTCTTTACAGCAGTGGGAGATTTTCACCGAAGAGAGAAATTTACTGTGGCAGCCGGCAGATTGCCAAAACTGTCGGCCTTTCAGTGACCACGGCAGCAGACAATGTCTCCAAAAATAATGCAGTAGCAGGCTGAAGTGTGTATATATATATATACATACAGTAGTGGTCAAAATTGTGGAAACCTTTTGGGAAAAGTGTATTTTCTAAACTAATAACACCACTTTTTTTCAGAGTTGTGCCATAAAATTATATATCATTGGAAAGATAATTTAATCAAGAAGGTAATGCAGTAACTTTTATGAAGGATTTGCTATTAGAATAGCAGATACAGGATAAAGAAGAAAAATGAAACACGTAGAAAAAATGAGATATACAAAAATGATCACCATGTCAGTTAATACTTTGTTGGGTAACCTTTAGCATGAATTACGGCCTTACAACGTCTTCCCATGGAGTGAATCAAGTCTTTTAGTTCTGCAGCTGTTATAATGTAAAACCAAGATTGAATGATGGCTTCTATTAACTGGGTTTTATTGCTGGGTCGCTTCTGACTAACAAGTTTCTTTAGTCGGCTCCACAGATTTTCAGTTGGGATTCCCAGGCCATTCCAGCAGTGGAATATGATTATCTTGAAACTCTCCCACAAAAAGTGATCTTATTAGCCATCAAACCTCGAAAATACACTTTTCCCAAAAGGTTTTCACAATTTTGGCCACTATTGTGTGTATGTGTATATATATATAGATGTATGTATATATGTATGTATGTATGTATGTATGTATGTATGTATGTATGTATGTATATACATCTATACACACACACACACACACACACACACACACACACACACACACACACACACACACAAGATATATATATCTTAGAAAACAAATAGCAGCTTACCACTTCCGCTCACTTCCAGGGCAGCATCTAAATTGTCTGGGACGCCATTCCAAGCATCTGCAATTAATTTAGGGAAGCCAGGATCCATTTTCTTCTTCACTTCGTTGTATCTGTAAAATAGACAGGAACAAAAAAGACATATTCCTTCCTCACTTGTTATCCTTCTCATCTTTCCATCTGTCCTATTGCCCATTTCCTTAGCTTCTTATGACTACCTTTATTATTCGTACCTCATGATTGATGTTGATTGCCTTTTAGTTAGTATCCTATTATGATCAATGTTGATTGCTTATTTACTGTATATCCTACGACTATCGCCGACTGTTGGATCTTATGATATATGATGATTGTATTTTATGATGATGGTCATGTTTTATCACTTGTTGCTTGTATGTACACTGAGAGCTTATGCACCGGAGGAGACAATTTTTGTGTGTGTCCAATCACCCTTGGCCAATAAATAATTCTACCGTCTACCTTCTGAATTTACTTGGACATTACAACTGGGAAAACCATAGCCTTGACTATACGCACTTTTGTTGGCAGGGTGATGTCTCTGCTTTTTAGTGATGTCTCTGAGTGTGTGAATCTGTGCAATGTTCCTAACTGCCTAGCATTGTTACGCTATCCCATCGTTGGGGTTGCAGGATTCCTTACCTCCAAAATTTGTCCCCTGCAAAAATGTAAGTCTTCTTGTTTTTGCTCCAGTTAAATACAGCATTGACACGTTGCACGTCAGGAGGCAGCCCGAGACTGGTAAGTCTTTTTGGATACCCTCTTTCCAAGGTGCTGGCTGTATAAATCCAGTATTCATTTCCTAGGAAAATAAAGCATCAGATTGTCAGGATCTCTGTTGAGATTAAGAGGAAGGAGAAAGAGGTTTTTCTCAATCAAAGGGTCTTGGATTTCAGGCAGTGAAGCGAAATTAAGTAAATTAGGGAGGTAAATTGGGACAGGTCAAACACTCCCATTTCAGAATTAACCCCCTGCATGTGACAAAATTGTGCATCATGTATGAAAGCGTTCTCCTGCTTGGTTTGGGAATGGGAAATCCCCATTCCCTCCCCACTCCTGGGGGAAGGATACTGCAAAATCTTCCCGCCCACTCCTGGGGGAAGGATACTGCAAAATCCCCATTCCCGCCCCACTCTGGGGCCAGCCAGAGGTGGTATTTGTCAATTCTCTGAATTATTCAAAATTTCTGCTACCGGTTCTCCGAACTGCTCAAAATTTCTACTCCCGATTCTCCAGAGCCTGTCATAACCTGCTGGATTTCACTCCTGGCCTATAAATTTAATAAGTAATATATAAATAGTATTTAAATCTTTGTTCCTTCTAAAAAACCACAGGAAGTGAGACTATAAATTATGGACTTATCAGATGTTTAGACTATATCCAGTTATCATGTAATACGATACACAATAAGGATTAAAATGCCATTCAGCTATGAAAAAATCACTTTGCAAGTGTTTTCCCTCTGTTCTATAAATAAATTTCACTACATCCCCACTCATTTTATTTTCCTTCACTCTCTTGTGTTGTGTAGCAGATCAGAGCAAAAAAATAAAATAAAAATTTTGCTATTCATTTTTGTTTGGCTGAGGCAACCACTGAAAATCATTTCCCAGATCAGCTGGCGTGGCTGCATGAAAATAGATGGTCTGCGAAGAGATGGAAGTTTCATTTCGATTCCATTTCTCGTTTTGGTTGAATGTTTAGTTTGTCGCATGTCGTACCACTCCAACATATACAAAAAGTCTATTTTCATATAAAAACACTTTGCACTCAAACGTGAATGCAATTTTATGCCAGTTTCAACAACATACTTTTTTTAAAAAAAAAATTCACTGTATAGTTTATGGTACAAAACCTGTCCTTTCTTTTGCAAATATTTTTTCTCTAAAATATGGAAATGGGGAAAGGTTGGGCTGTTTCTAACTGTAACTCAGCCCTGCAAAATTCAAAACGGGGCAAATTTTGAAAGAGAACCATGTTTTGGTCAAACCAGAATACAAAATAACAGAGTTGGAAGGGACCTTGGAGGTCTTCTAGTCCAACCTCCTGCTCAAGGTAGGAGAACCTATGGTATTCCGGATAAATGGCTTCCAATCTCTTCTTAAAATCCTCCAATGATGGATCACTCACAGCTTCTGCAGGAAATCCATTCCAGCTTCTTCAAAAATGAGGCAATTGAATGAAAAATTTGCATTGGCATACTAAATAAATGAATTGCTTCCTTCTTCCTAACATAAAATAAACATGGACTAAGCAACAATGTGAGATTAGAACATCTTCCTGGCTACAAATTTTGGATCCTGGAGGCCAAATCTTCTAAAGAACATCAAGTCTGTCATCTGCACCTCTATGACTGTTTGGTTTGGCTCTGCAACCCAACAAGACAGACACAGACTTCAGAGGATAATTAGAACTGCAGAAAAAACAATGGCTACCAACCTGCCTTCCATTGAGGACCTGTATACTGCCCGAGTCAAAAAGAGGGCTGGGAAAATATCTACAGACCCCTCGCATCCTGGACATAAACTGTTTCAACTCCTGCCCTCAAAACGACGCTATAGAGCACTGCACACCAGAACAACTAGACACAAGGACAGTTTTTTTTTCCCAAACGCCATCACTCTGCTAAACAAATAATTCCCTCAACACTGTCAAACTAGTTATTAAGTCTGCATTAATCTTCTCATCGTTCCTATCACCCATCTCCTCCCACTTATGACTGCATGACTGTAACTTCGTTGCTTGTATCCTTACGATTTCCTAGTATGATTTGATTGCTTATTTGTTCCCTATGACTATCATTAAGTGTTGTACCTTATGATTCTTGATGAACATATCTTTTATTTTATGTACACTGAGAGCGTATGCACCAAAGACAAATTCTTTGTGTGTCCAATCACACTTGGCCAATAAAAAATTCTATTCTATTCTATTCTTCTAGTTGGAGCAGTTGGCTTTACAGAAATCCAGGTGTGTATTTGAGTATGTGTGTTTAGATGACTTCAGCCCAAATCTTACCTGAAAAAAATACCGATTTCTCTTCTTGAGGGGCTTCATAGACAGCGTCAATTTTTTCTGGAAGGTCAGACCAAAAAACAGCAACGAGCAAAGGTCCCGTTGGACGACTCCGTTCATTAGCTGTTCTCCAGAAGAATCTATCCAAAAAATGACAAGCAACTTTATTGGCAGAGGTGCTTTTTATGCAAACTGAGCAAAGTGCATTCATGTGTCACACACACACACCAGTGGTAGGTTTCTACCAGTTCGCCCTGGTTCGGCGAACCGGTAGCGGCAGCGGGAGGCTCCGCCCACCTGCCGGGATGTCATCATGGATGCCCCGCTCATGCGCAGAAGTGCCACACGCAAGCTCTCAGAGTTCCAAACCGGTAGCAACCGTAAGTGAAACCCACTACTGACACACACACACAAACACACACACACACACAACAATGCTCGCATTCTACTAATAACATAAACATTAAATTATGGAGGGTTTTGTTATTATTCAGTGCATCAATCTTTTATTGGTGGGGGTTGTCCCATGAATTTTTTTAATGTGTGGCGCCCAGACGTTTGCCATTTATAACAATTTTCTCCAGCACTCACATTAATTCTTAGCAAAGAACAACAACAACAAAAATAAGAAAATAAAGCAAGCAAGCAAGAAAGAAAGAAAGACGGAATAGCGGGTGCTTCAATTATCCTAGCAAATAAACTGATTTACAAGGCACTTAAAACTCTTTCAGCCTTGCCCTGCGCTGTACTCTGAACAGATGGATACGCGTTCGGCAAAAGCCAACCTTTGTATTGTATTCCATTACTCTGGAAGATTATGATCGTAGCAACTAAAAAAGATCAAATCTAATAATCATCGATCAAAACAGCTTGGCTGTAAATGAAACCCGGGAACATTAAAACTGTTCATCAGTGGAAATGAAAGGAGCAATTTGGAAGCTGTTGAGCTGATATCCTCTTTCGATTTATGAACATGACAAAAAAAGAAAAAGAAAGAAAAACCAACTTAATTCTGGTTTGATTTCAGCGGCAGTATGTAGGAAATTATGGGACAGGATGTTAATAAAAACATTATTGTGTAATCTCTTTTTTTCTCTCTCTCCCTCCCTCCCTCCATCTCTGATGAGCAGTTCGTTTTGTTTAAAGAACTCCAAAACTAATAGCTGAAACCAGCTGGCCCATTTCTCAGGCAGCAAGTCTGGAAACGCCACTGTATAAAGAGTCAGAGAAGGCTGCCATTTGATAGATGTTGAGCAAATGGCTTGTCAGATTAGGCTTTTTAGTTGCATTATCTTTCTTTTTTTTTCCTGTTTTTAAACGAGAGCTGGCTCTCCGGTTGTGTGAGGGGGAAAAAACCCACCCAGCTTTATAGCCGGTAACAGCGACACGAGCTCAGTTGTCATTTTCAACACATCGATCCGGATTCACATGTTAAACTTGGTTGTTTCTTGTAAGCACTTTTTCATTGCGCGTGTTATTATACTGCCTTGAATCCAAAACTAAACTCATCATTTTCATTTAATGACACCATAATCCCTTGTGGGGTGGAGTCTGGACAGCTGAATGGAGCTAGCAGAGTGTTTTAATGGCCGGATGCCCTTCCTGTCGCCAATGCAGAGTTTTGTTCAGCAGATATATTCTCATTGTGCCCAGAGAGAGAAATATCTGCCTCTACTTAGGATGGAACTCACAGCCTCCTGATTGTGAGACAAGAGCTCCACCATTAGGCCACCGTACCACTCCCTAAACTGTACTCCCAAATAACCAAATAACTACAAACACAACTGTTGTGGCTCTCATTAGAGAATAAAACATGGTTCAGTCCCAACTGTTATCACACAAAGCGTGGCTCCTTGCGCAGGTACACCTTGACTTACGATTACAATGGAGCCCAACATTTCTGTAGCTAAGTGAGACGGTTGTTAAGTGGGCTTTGCTCTATTTTATGACCTTTCTTCCCACAGTTGTTAAGTGAATCACCCCAGTTGTTAAATTAGCAACACGGTTGTTCAGTGAATCTGGCTTCCCCATTGACTTGTGCTCGTCAATAGGTCACAAAAGGGAATCACGTGACCCTGGGACACTGCATCCGTCATAAATATGAGTCAGTTGCCAAGCATCTGAATTTTGATCATGTGACCATGGAGAGGCTACAACAGGTGGGTGAAAAATGGTCCCAAGTCACTTTTTTCAGTGCCGTTGTAACATTGTAACAGTCACTAAATGAATGGTAGAACTACCCGTAATGGTATGTGAGAATGGCCTTGTGAGACAGAAGGGAAAGCTACAGACCAGACAACCAGCATGTTTCCGGCCACAGAAAAGTGTGGGGGAAAAAGCAGTGACCTTCCCTCATTTTCTGGAGAGTAAAGGAAGAGATAAATATCGAATAGATCCTTCTCTGGTTCCCCCACCACTCACCTGTCTTTGAAGAAAAAGATCTCGCCCCTAATTTGAGCCACGGCATCAAAGACAAGATCTTGGCCACAAAGTTCAGGAGTGACAGGTCCAAGAGTTGGCTTTGGTCCTGGTCCAACATCAGTAGAACCCCCTACAAATCAAGGAAAAGTCAACAATGATCTGGACGTTCTTCTTTTAAGCTTAGAAATCAGAAAGAGAAGCAATATCAGGATTCCTTCATTCTGCCTTTTCTCCCCCCCCCCCCCGTAATGCAAAAAAAAAAGGGGGGGGGGTTAGATAAAAGAGGTAAAGAAAGAGAACAGGGCATCTGGTTTTCTTCAAACGGTTCGCCACAATTATTCTACCATTTCAGGTTCTCCTGGAAAAGCTTGAGCAATAAGATTAATCATGCTATGGACCAGTGGTGAAATGTAAATCTTTTTGCTACCAGTTCTGTGGGCGTGGCTTGTTGGCCGTGGCTTGTTTGGGGGGGGTGTCATGTGACTGGGTGGGCGTGGCCAACTTTTTTTTTTTTTACTTTTTAAAGCATTTTTTAACTACCTATTCGCCCGAACCGGTAGTAAAAAAAAATGCTTTAAAAAAGTAAAAAAAAGAAGTTCTGATAATCGTGCGGCACAGGTGTGATATCAGAACCTTTTTAAAAAAAACTTTTTAAAGCATTTATTTACTACCAATTCGGGCGGTGCCCACCCAGTCTCATGACCTCCCAACCCCCCACCCCGGAGCGAACCGGTAGCATTTCACCCCTGATATGGACTCAAATGTTTCAGATAGGTTTGAACCAACTGGAAACGTCACCATAAAGTTCTTGGATCCCTTGAATGTCATCTTGAGAAAGACGGAAGTGCTTGGTATAAGTGTAGATGGGGGCCATGAGCGCGCCAGGATCTTGAGAATGTTCGAGTCCCATTGCGTGGCCAAATTCATGAGCAGCAACCAAGAACAGACTGTACCCTGGAAGAAAATAAATCAGCTTTTATGACTGCTGGATGATATTGTCCATACATATCTCTTTGTGAAGTCAACCTAACCATTTTACAAAAGCACTTTCTGGGGCTTTAAAGACATCCAAGACCGAAGATGTCACAATGAAAGAAAAGAACATAAGTAACTTTTGTTTCCACATGGAAACCGCTTCTGAACTTCATGCTTGATGTGTAAAAGAACGTAACTTTTGACTTTGGGTTTTACAGATTAGATTGATAGATCTTTATAGGAATGACTTATTCGTATTATTATGGAAAAACAAAAAGCGGTGATTTGATATTAATGCCTTATTCTACTGCAACAGAGAGAGACAGAAGTCAGTGCTTCTTGGTCTTTTCTTTTCCCTACCTTTTCCTCACTTCCTTCTCCCCTCTCACTGCCCTTTTATTTACTTTTGTATTTTGCATTTTATAATGCTTTATAGTTTAATTTTTAAAAATTGGGAAAAAAAGAAGGTCGGTAAAATGAGGACCCAGATTGTTGGGGGCGATAGGCTGACTCTGTAAACCACTTAGATATGGCTATAAAGCACTGTAAAGTGGTATATAAGTGCTACTGTTATTGCTAAACTATAGTTGGCGTCACTTGTACAAAGTCAAAAACTAAGACTTAGAGGTGTCTAAAGCTGAGTTCATGAAATATACCGAGTACTGTAAAATCCAAATTAACTACAAAGACAAAAGACATGTGATATTTAAACTCTACTTTTCAGTCATGTTCAAACATTCCCGATCCAGCTGTTGGGAAACTGTGTGAGAAGGAATGATTTATGGTTAACTTCACAGTTGACTCATTTGTAAGTTTCTTAGGATGTTTTTTTGGGGGGGAGTTTTTGCAATTGTTTCTGAACATTTGATGATCTCAGTTATACTTCTGAGAATGAGGGAAGCTTGTAAGAGAAATGTTTTGATTCACCAAGGACATGTTGCAATGCAACCTAAAACTCTAGCCTATTTTGCTAGGTTTGAAGCATAAGAAAACATAGAAAACAACGCAAGGGTAGGCTGTTTTGTAAGAACTATGTTTTTTGATTCTTTGACCTTTATTTTAGTCCATTAAAATTGTGGTGTAATTCCTTGTTTTTTGATACCTTGGAGAACTGGAAGAAATGCTGTAACATTTACAAGGAGGAGGAAGAGGAGGAGAAAAATCTGTACCTTGATCCGGACAAAATCCCCATTTGCGATCTTCATCGTAGTTACTAGTAGTAGAACACCACATCTTCCCATCTTGCCGTCCCGAAGTAGTACAAGAATCATACTTATTCCCAAGGAATATAAAAGGAAAAACGCACGGCTGTCCTTCAGAGTTCCCACCCACGGTAGACATTGCTGCATTAAAAAAGAAAAAGAATAACAGTGTTGGAAGGGACCTTGGAGGTCTTCTAGTCCAACCCCCTGCTTAGGCAGGATACCCTACACCACTTCAGACAAATGGTTATCCAACATCTTCTTAAAAACTTCCAGTGTTGGAGCATTCACAACTTCTGGAGGCAAGTCGTTCCACTGATTAATTGTTCTAACTGTCAGGAAATTTCTCCTTAGTTCTAGGTTGCTTCTCTCCTTGATTAGTTTCCACCCATTGCTTCTTGTCCTGCCTTCGGGTGCTTTGGAGAATAGCTTAACTCCCTCTTCTTTGGGGCGGCCCCTCAAATACTGGAAGACTGCTATCATGTCTCCCCTAGTCCTTCTTTCCATCAAATTAGACATACCCAGTTTCAGCAACTGTTCTTTATATATATTTTTTAGCCCCCAGTCCCCTAATCATCTTTCTTGCTCTTCTCTGCACTCTTTTCTAAATCAATAAAAGTAGGAGCAGTTAATAGTATACTATCAAATTCTTGCTTGGTCATTTAGAAGTTTTGTTGTAATTATTATGAATTATCGCTTTGATTTCCAGAAGCCTATAATTTGGGTCTGATGACACTGAAGAAAAAGGTAGTATATGTTTTTTTTTCCTCCAAACAAACCCATGCCAGTTGTACCAAACATCTTCTTACCTGTCTCTGGACAAAATCCAAATTTCTTATCCCGGTCATAATCTTCGGTAGTGCCACACCATCTATACCCATCTTGTCTTCCTTCTGTGGTGCAGCTGTCAAAGGATCTTCCCTCAAACAGGAAGGGAAATTTGCACGGTTGCCCATCCGAGTTTCCACCCATGGTGAAAAGAGCTGCAGGGTAAGAGGCATACAATTAAAGGTAAAGGTAAAGGTTCCCCTCGCACATATGTGCTAGTCGTTCCTGACTCTAGGGGGCGGTGCTCATCTCCATTTCAAAGCCGAAGAGCCAGTGCTGTCCGAAGACGTCTCCATGGTCATGTGGCCAGCATGACTCAACGCCAAAGGTGCACTGAACGCTGTTACCTTCCCACCAAAGGAGGTCCCTATTTTTCTACTTGCATTTTTTACCTGCTTTCAAACTGCTAGGTTGGCAGAAGCTGGAACAAGTAACGGGAGCTCACCCCGTTATGCGGCACTAGGGATTCGAACCGCTGAACTGCCGACCTTTCGATCGACAAGCTCAGTGTCTTAGTCACTGAGCCACTGCATCCCTGTACAATTAAAACCAGTGGTGAAATTCAGCCGGATCTATTTGGATCGCTCGATCCAGTAGCGCCAGTGGCAGAAGGCTCCGCCCACACGCCCGTACATCAGAGTGCCAGAAAATGGCCTGAAAATGGCCCCCAAAATGGCCAAAAATGGTAAAAAGCACACCTTTCTTTGGGCTGTTTTTTTGCTGTTTTGGGACATTTTTCAGGACATTTTCAAGCTGTTTTCAGGCCATTTTGGGGCCAATTTTCAGGCCAGCGCACGCATGTACATTGGCCAGCTGGTCTTCAGATTTCCAGTGCACACACATGCAGAGGCATTCCGGTTTGGGCCTTCAGTGCCGAAAAAAGTTTGCCATCATTGCTTTAGTCAATATCCAGGGTTTTTTCCCCCAAAAAACTTGAAGCTAATTGTGTTACATCCACCCACCACAACCTGTTGTGGCTGGTTAAGTTGCAACAGATGTCATTCATTGACTCAGTGATTTGAGAATGGGTTTCCTTTAGCCTTCCAGCCACGTTTCTTGTTTGTTCAGAAGACCATTCCAGAAACGCTAGTTAAAATGCACGTCTGGATGCAGCCAGCATCGGAGTTCCAAGACTGCCTTTAAAACAGCTTTTCTTTGGAGAATGAAAAGGGAACGGAGGCTGCTAAGACAGGCATATTCATTTACTGGGGAAGCAGCTTTGGGCTATAAACTCGGCCAGCGTTGGCCTTTTAACAACATATCTTATTAGCTTAACCACTGACAATTTAGGGGAAAAAAAAACAGTATGGAAAGTTAATGTAGTGTTGCTGGAAATAATCATTGCCTCCATGTCCAAAGAAGGCTGTTTGGTGAGCACAGCCACCAAAGGTTTCCAAATCCTCTGTTTTTTCCACAATTCTCTTTAGCAGCTTCTGCAGTTTTGATAGCAGAGACAATGTTAGCACTGGAATAACAATAATTAAAAAGAGAATCTAAGACTATTCAATGGAGGAACAATGCTGAAAGGCAGGATCCCAATTCCCAAAAGACAGAGGCTCTCAAAGGTTGTTCGCAGAATTTCCCTGTTTCGCCATTCTCAAGGGCAGCGAGTTTTGGGAGGTTCCCCAAAATATTGATCCATGAAAGAAAAGTCTTCTTTCTGTCTTCATTCCCTGCTTAACAAGCATTTCCAAGTTTAGTTCTAAAGTAACGTGCACAAAGGACAGATCATCACAGCCGCAAGATGTAAAACAAAATAGTCAAAGAAAGAACAGTATGGATTAAATAAGGGTCCTTCCTTCCTGGTGAATTTCAAGACAAACACTTTCTCAAGGATGTATGTATTTATAAGATTTGCAGAGAGATAGGGCTTGTTTTTCCTCCCTGCCAATAACGTCAAAATATCTACATTTACATTCAGACCAGCTGCCGTTTCAATGGCTTTTATTATATCCGCTTCTCAAAAGCTACGTCAAAAGTTAGAGGGAGGTTGGGGAAATATTGAGACACACGGATTTTGTTTTTATATATACGATTTATGGTCCTTAAATCCTGCTTTCCTATCAAACGCAAATCAAAGAGTCAAAGCTGAGACACTAGAATTGTAACCAGTAATACATTACGAGCGATGACATCATTCATGGGAATTAGCCATGGTAGCTGGAAATGATGAGTGTTGTGGTAAAAAAAAATTGGATCGAGGGGCTGATTTATTGTTACGTGATAGTTCTTTAAAAAGGGAATTGATGAAGAAGGGAAGGGATTACTGAAGAAGGGTTGGGTTGGGTAGGGAAAGACGGAAAGAGAGATCTTTTACCTTTGAGCCTTCAGGCCTGCCACAAATTCTACTGTGGGAAAATGGGAGGGGGGGATTGTCTGGAGTGAAGATGATATGTAGTCAAAATAACATTCTTTCCAGAATGTCAAGGCCACTTTGCCCTGCAGCTGTGCTGAGAAGACTGGGGAGGTATCTTCTGTTCCAGAGGGTACCTGATTGGTTTGTTTGATGGACATGTGGGGTGATGGGCAAGGACTTGAACTTTTTTGGGGGGGTGAGGAAAACCCGGAAGCTCTCAGATTCAGGTTTTCCCAGATGTGCCAATATGATATCTCTAATAAAAATTAGCTTTGAGGAATTTCAAGCCTCGGAGTTTGATTTCGTTGGGGGTGTTATTTGGAACCCTGACAACGTCTCTATCTCTCTCCATTCTGGTGAGAGAGAAGTTCTCTGAGGATGGTCTCCAGCATGAATCCAAAAGTTTGGAAGACTACATCTCTGGTTCTGGTGCTTGACCCAGATTGGATCCTGCTGCACCATTATCCTGGGACATATACATTTGACTTCATTCAGGGGAAATGGACATTTGCTTACTATTGTTTCTCTTTGATGGTAGCCGAGCATCCGATAAATGCCCAGTAGGGAGAAATTACTGCAGTAATAAAACTGGCGTTTGGAATTAGATGGTTCTCACTTGGCAGGGATTCTGGTTTCCTGCCCACTCATGAACTCATTGGCTTTGTCAACCTCTCTGTTGCAGTGAAGGAACCATGGTATCACATCATCAATTTCCCTGAACTTTTGAATCCAGTGGTGTTTTGCAGCTCCTCCTCAACATCCTGGCTCTTTATTTTAATCCCCTCACCCAATGATGAGACCATTGTCCAGTGGTGGAATTCAATTTTTTTTACTACCAGTTCTGTGGACGTGGCTCGGTGGGTGTGGTGTGGTTTGGTGGGCATGGCAGGGGAAGGATACTGCAAAATCCCCATTCCCACCCCACTCCTGGGGGAAGGATATTGCAAAATCTCCATTCCCACCCCACTCTGAGGCCAGCCAGAGGTGATATTTGCCGGCTCTCCGAACTACTCAAAATTTCTGCTACCGGTTCTCCAGAACCTGTCAGAACCTGCTGAATTTCACCTCTTCCCTTGTCCCTTGAGAGATCAAATGAATTTATGGAAACCAGCACACACGAAGGTTGAGAAGATTCAATGGTTTGCGTCTACTCTGTCGTGAGACCACAAGCCAATACCCAATTAAAGCAGCCTCCTTAAAGCCCCACAGCCACCCTTCAACTTACATTCATGGGGGCAGAATCCATATTTGCCGTCTGTATCAAAGTTGTAGGTGGTCGAACACCACAGAAACCCATCGCTTCGTCCTGCATCGGTGCAGCTGTTGTATTCCTTCTCACTAAATAGGAAGGGGAATTTGCAAAACTCTCCATCCGCGTTGCCGTATTTCACCCTGACCACTAGAAAGGAGAGGACAGAGGATTCATCAGCAGAACTGTTCTGACCTAGGCTTCCTGAGTCAGTAAAACACACGAGTAATCTCAAAAGCCTCTTTTATTTCAACGGCTGTGAATTCTGTTCATTCACAAATGAGTCCCAAATAGTTGCAAAGAGTCCTTCGGGATAAGGCTGATAATCACCCACCTTTATCTCCTTTGACACACTGCCAAAGACCTAACTGGCAAAGCCATATGGAGTCCAGAATCAAACAGAGCTTCAGACTTTAAACTGCACAGAATTAACAACGTTGCTTCCTGCAAAGGGCTCACGTGCCTTTGCTCCTCTTTTAAGTCTTATGGGAGGGGCCAATCATCTCCAAGCCTTACTCCTGAGTCGTCCCTTTTGTTTTAACTGTTCTTGCCTTCTGGCAGCTTTGCGCATGCATGCACTGGGCACAGGCTCCCCCTGTTCCTCAGCCTCGCTGAGATCCGACTCTGGAGGTTCCGGAGGCAGCACATACCTCCCAGATGGCCCTTTCTCTGCCTCCGACACAGAAGTCCTCGTTCGAGCCTTCCCCAGACCCCAGGACTGGCCCGTGTTCCTCCCCAGCCTCCTCACTGTCCAACTCTGCTGCCAGCTCCACAGGGCACTGGCGGATCACAACAAAAAACTACAATAGCAGCCAATGACCTTTGAGTAGGCTCTGAAGTGAAAACAGCTGTCTTACCTTGGCCTTCACCCAAAGTCCAAAATTCGTCATCATCAAAATGAGAATCACCTCCAACTCCTGGTCCAGGAGCAAAAGCGTGGGCCAGAAGACCATCCTTACCATCGAAAGGATACCCATCCCCATGCTCTGCAGAAGAAGGAACAAAAGCAAAACGGCATCGGACCCTGGCATCAGGACACCTTTTGGGCAGGAATGCCAATTTAGGCATTATTTCTGCTGTTGGGTGAAATCTGAGGCTTATATCGGAGCGAGGGATGAATAAAATGCAATCTTACTACCACAAAAGGTTATGGATTAGCAATATACACACCCATACCGTCTTAAACTCTTGAGTAGAAGGGTAAATGTCTTTGGAGATTCTCCGTCCTCCAGGTCATGGTTGTCCCAAAGGTGCTTTTTCAAGAGGCAACTGGACTTTCTGGTTTCTCTTTGAAGACGTTTCACTTCTCATCCCAAAAGCTTCTTCAACTCTTGCCCACCATCCAGTCAGAGCTGAAGAAGCTTCTGGGATAAGAAGCGAAATATCTTCAAAGAAAAACCAGAAAGTCCAGTTGCCTTTTTGGAAAGCAGCTTTGGGAGCAGAAGGATAGGTTAGACAAACTGGATTTGGAAGGATTGGGCAAAACGTCCTTTAATCCAGACTGCGGTTCCTGAGAGCAGTAAACAAATTAGCTTCCCAAGATCTTAAACAGCACCTGAGAGAGTTGGGACTTCCTTATTTTTGATCTTATTTCTTTCTAGGATTAAGAGAACCCATCCCTTCCTTTGATTATTGGCGATTAAGGAATCCAATTGTTGCAAGTTTCCATTGTCTCCTTGGACACAGAACCCTTTTCAAGATCTCCTCTATTTTACAGATTTTTTTTCTCTTTGAAAAGAGAGGTCCTGGCACTTTTCGCCACTTTTCCACGGCTGGCAGGGCTCCTGAGGTTGCCTGTGGCTTCTTTGACACCATCCAAGGTTTCATTTGGAGCCATTTGAATCACACACCCATTAGAGGTGGTTGGTCTTTATACTGGGCTTCTTACTCACTGGAGTAAAACCCAGGTGAAACTCAAATCAACTCAACTCAACCAAGAAACCAGAGTAGGAACTGATACACCGTATTATTCAGTGGTGGGATTCAAATTTTTTTACTAGCGGTTCTGTGGGCGTGGCTTGGTGGGTGTGGCCAGGGGTGTGTGACAGGCAGCACTTGGCCTCCTGAACCCCCCTGGGAGCAAAAATGGACCGCGGGGGGGATGCTCCCTCCCGTGCCCCATTTTGGGCCTAGGAGGCCTCCCTGAAGCCTCCTGGGAGTGAAAATGGGCCACGGGGGTGGGGGGTGTGCACCGCCCTCCCCGTGCTCCGTTTTGGGCCTAGGAAGCCTCCCTGCACTTACCTGGGAGCCAAAATGGGGTGTGTGGGGACTCCTGGAATGGGTGGGGCAGGAAGGGGCGGGGTCAGTCAGCAATTTAACTACTGGTTCGCACGAACTGGCCTGAACTGGCTGAATCCCACCACTGGTATTATTATGTGCATACCCCATCGTCCAAAATTGATCATGATATCTGCCTCTCCATCATGAATTCGAGAGAATTCCAGCGGCGTGACATCACTCCAGACTTTGAAGGCTTGGGCAAACGCATCATCAACCGTTTCAGAATCCAGATCTGGGGTATAGCCTAGAATTCTTAAGACAAAAATAATGATGATGATGATGATGATTGTCAGCAAAGATACAGAGCTCTGACTCAAAAGTCTGTCTCCTCTGGGCTACACAAAAGCTGGACGGCCATTGGATGGCACCAGACATGATTTTATCTGTCCTCTTGGGCTCCAGCCCTGGAGGAGACCCACTTTGTTACTGCAGAATTATAGTTCTCGATAACTCTCCCTAACATAGCCAGACAGGAGAAAGGCTGAGAAGAGTAGTTTAACACATGGGGGAGGTCCTCAGGTTCTCTATCTTTGTGATAGACCTCACACGCTTAATCCTGCATACAGACCCGTTCATTTATTGCTGTATTTTTTTCTGGGCCAGAGTCAGCAGATAGCACCAGCAGATGCAGAAAGGGAATTAATTTCCAAAGCTATTCCTTCTCTTTATCTCCATCTCCTTCCCTTCACTCTCTGCCTTCCTGTCTCCATCTTCCTTACTTCTCCTTCTCTCCATCTCCTTTCCCTTCACTTTCCTTCTTCCTTTCCTTATCTCCCTCTCTCTTCTCCTTCTCGATTGCCCTTCCTTCTTCTCCTCCTTGTCTCCATCTCCTTTCCCTTCACTCTCCTCTTCCTTCCTGTCTCCCTTTTCCTTCCTCCCTCCCTCCCTCCCTCCCTCCCTCCCATCTCCTACTCTCCATCTCCATCTCTTTTCCCTATCTCCCTTCTCCTTCTCCATTTCTCTTCCTTCTTCTCATTGCCTCCATCTCCCTTCCTTTCCTTCTTCTCCTCCTCCTCCTCCTCCCTTTCTTCGTCTCCTTCCCTTTCACTCCCTTTCTCCCTGTTTTTTTTCCTTCTCCCTCCCCCACTCCTCCTTCTGTTCTATTTTTTAAAAAACCTTCTGATGGTGAATGGAATCATTTACCACTCTTCCTTTGGGGGAGGGGGCAGGGAGGGGAGGAGGAATTTGCATTCTTGCAAACTTCTAATCCTCCTATACCTGTGCTTGTAAATTTATCTGCTGAATCATCTTGGATTGACTGGGATCTGCAAAGCTTGACAAGCCAGCTTGGAATAATGCATCCTAAAATATGCATCCTAAAATTTAACCCTCTTTTCAAGCAAATACAAGAAAAATCCTTGCAAAGCCAACCTTTGTTGGCTATGTGTTCTATACGAAACTCTTGTTTCATTGGATTGACTCCCAAATCCGCTAGCCAATTTGCTTTTGTTCCACAGCTAATTCCTGGCCAGCCAAGTCATCTGAATGAGGTGCAGAAAAGGAGGAAGCTTGTAAACAGTAATCTCCGGCTGAAACTGAGATGGATTTTTTTTTTTAAAAAAAAAAGTATATTTCTTCTGCCTGAACCTTGTGCAACCCATGGTCTACGAAGAGCCATTTCAAATATCTCCTGTCCTAGTCACCCTGTGATTTCTGCTCAGTTTTGCTGCTGCAGACACAACACGGCTGTGGGATTAATATCATCTCCAGCTCAAAGTGCCAAATCAAAAGTTCTGAGAAGAGAAAGGCAGACACACAGGAGCCTGTGGTGTGCTGTTCCATGGAGTTCAACGGAATGCAAGTTTTAGGTTTTGTTTTTTTTTTCCCTTAAAGAACAGCAGAAGAAGAGACATTCTACTCTTAAAAACGACCGTTCTGGAAGGATGCTTGCAAGCTTTCAAATAGGAAGACGGCTCTTTTCTTAAAGAACAGTTGGTGGAAGGACAAGGTTGTCCCTCTGTAGCATGGAGGACCCCTTGACTTCTCTAGAGTTTGTGGAAAGACCTAGTCTATAGAATAAGAACATAGAATTAGAGAGTTGGAAGGCACCTTGGAGGTCTTCTAGTCCAACCCCCTGCTTAGGCAGGAAACCCTACACCACTTCAGACAAATGGTTATCCAACATCTTCTTAAAAACTTCCAGTGTTGGAGCATTCACAACTTCTAGAGGCAAGTTGTTCCACTGATTAATTGTTCTAACTGTCGGAAATTTCTCCTTAATTCTAGGTTGCTTCTCTCCTTGATTAGTTTCCATCCATAATTCTGTAAACCAAGAATTCACAGATTACTTTGGATTGGAATTACTTGCTGTTTTTTTAAGCATACCAAAGAAACGGATGCAGCCAAAGATGGGTAAAATTGGGTCCTGTAGAAAAATGGGACATTTTTCTCTTTGACCACATTTTGGTAATCCAGTTCTATGCACCGGTTAAAGAGAGAGCCCAGTTTGTAGTGTAAAGGCACCTGGCTAGAAACCTGGAGACCGTGAATTCTAGTCCTGCCTCAGCACGAAGCCAGCTGCATTGGGCCAGTCACTTTCTCTCTTCCCTATGAAAAAGGCAATGACAAACCACTTCCTGCCAGGAAAGCTGCAAAGATTTCTGCCAACCCTTTGCATAGAGTCCACATTGACCTATAGCAGTGATGGCTAACCTTTTCGGCACTGAGTGTTGAACCTGGAGCCCGTGCGAGCGCCGGAGCCAGAAGAGAGCAGCTGGCCACTGCATGCATGCATGCCAGACCAGCTGGCCGTCACGTATGCACGCAACAAAACCTGGAAGAACAACTGGCCACTGCATGCATGCGTGCTGGACCAGCTGGCTGCCACGTATGCACGCAACAAAACCCAGAAGAGCAGCTGGCCACTGCATACATGCATGCTGGACCAGCTGGCCGCTGTGTATGTGTGCAATGAAACCTGGAAGAGCAACTGGCCACCGCGTGCATGCCATAGATTCACCATCATGGACCTATAGATTTATGGGCTGTCACATCAATGTTAATTCTATGAGTGATGCTGTCTTCCTCTAAAAACTCTGAGAAGAGTGAACAATAGAGTAGAATCCTTTAATTTTCTACTGGTTTCCTGCTGGGCAGTTGCAAGCATAAGACCAGTGGAGAAAACAAATACTGGACTTTCAAGAAGCCCTTTCAACCTCAACCAAGCCAACCTCAACAACTAGATTTGGAGATGGAAGTTCCTCTGAAAGCTGATGCTCTTTCTCCTCCATGTGGTTTGAACAACTAAAAAAGGTTCTCCTTCTTAGGGTAATCATTTTCAGAAGACACTGTGCCAGTTTGGTACCTACCTGTACGTGACAAGGTTTTTCTCCCATTTTGGTTTCCTGGGGAAGAAATTATAATTGGCCACATCCGGGTTGCCACACCTTGGTTTTTTCATAGTTTCTATAGTGTTTTGGTCCAGTTCTCCAGTCTGAGGAAGCCCAAAGAACTTCTGCATGTTCTTCAAAGTGTCCTTCAGGACGAGTAGGTTGCAATTGTCTTTGGGACATCCATAATACTTGTTGAGGTATTGCTTTTGGAGAGAAGAAAAAGATGGGCAGTGAACATGGAAAGAAAGCAATGGACCTAAACTGCTACCTCTCTTGTTGAAAACAAACAAAGAAAAAATCAAAATTTTCAAACGATGGCCCCAAAGCAAAGATCAGCCCTACTGTCAGGGTTCCAAGAAACACCCCCAACGAAAGAAAACTCCAAGGCTAAAAGTTCCTCAAAGTTCCATTTTATTAGAGATGTCATATTGGCACATCTGGGAAAACCCAAATCGGAAAGCTTCCAGGTTTTCCCCACCCAAAAGAAAGTCTAAATTCCTTCCCCTCCACCCACATGTCCATCACATGGGCCAATCAGTGCACTGTTCCAACTGGAGATGCCTCCCAGTCATGCCATTCCAGGTGCAGGGCTGAATGTCCTTGACTCTCAGAGAAAGGAATGTTATTATGGCTAGATATCTCCACCACTCCATGCAATCCCTCTCCCAGTTTCTCACAGCATTAAATATGGCAGCCCTGAAGATCCCAAAAAAAGTTGGCCTCCAGGGCTGACACCTACGGTTGCCTAATCCTGCCTTTGTCTTGGTCTTAATTGGCTGGACAAGAATCAAGTCAAAAACGATCATTTGTCCATCTTGGAAGTTGACGTCAACATTAAAACTAGGCTGGGCAATGTAACTATTGCTTCATATAACAATATGGTAGATGAGTGTCCTAGAGGATGGTCAAATGGTAAAGAGGGAAGCCAATGTGGTGCACAAAAAAATCCCAAACTCAAACCAAACAGGCAGAGGTTCAGTCATTCCATCATGGCTGCCATTTTTACTTTTTGACCATAACGTGAGGACACCTTGATGTCATCTATGGTTGGAATAACAGCTAAGTCAAAGGCTTTGAATCTGTACTTGGAGAACAAGGAAAGAAGCTTGCATCAACCATGTCCTGAGTTAGTCTTTCATCCCTCATGATTTGAGGGCTCCTTGGTGCTCTCTGAGTTTGTTTGTTTTCTTGTAGAGCTTTCATGACCCAACTAAGTAATATGATCAGTGCTAGAAGGGAGTGTTGGAGGAGGAGGAGGAGGAGGTGGTGGCAGCTGTGGGGTCCTTGGTGCTTTCTGAGTTTGTTTTCTTGCAGACATTTCATTACCCAACTAGGTAACATCATCAGTGCTAGAAGGGAGTGAGGTTGGAAGAGGAGGAGGAGGAGGAGGAGGAGGAGGAGGAGGAGGAGGAGGAGGAGGAGAAGACTGTTGGGTCCTTGGTGCTCTTTGAACTTGGTTGTTTTCTTGCAGATGTTTCATTATCCAAACTAGATAACATCATTACTGCTAGTATATTGAAACATCTGCAAGAAAACAACCAAACTCAGAGAGCGCCAAGGACTCTCATTTCACTCCTGACCTACAAATATTCTCCTGTATTGATATGAGGATTTGAATTCTGCAGTTTGGCTGCAGTGTTATACAGTATCATGACGAAGGTCAAGAGAAAAAAAGGAATTTGTATGACAAAGTAAACCACTCTTTGTTGCGGGTTTATTATTTTTATTCTTTTTTATATTGGGTTTTTTTTTTAATTGTTTGCAAGCCACCCAAGAATCACAGAGTGAGTGGGCAGCCATATAAATCTTCTAAATAAATAAATAAATAAACTCTCAGGCTACTAAGTCATGGGAGCGTGTTCTTCCTAATGTGTTTTCTAGACAGTCAACTTTTAAAGAATCACTGAACAGGCAGAGGAGGAATTGTAATTATAATAACTAACATTTTATAGACCCCCCCCACCCTTTCCAACAGATTTGCTACAAACATAACCCTGGCAGAGTCCTAAGGGGCAATTACTGCCTTTCAAGATGAGAGTTGAGACTCGTTAGCAAGTTGGCTGAAAAATTAAGCTTTAAATAGTAAGGGGGCCTCTCTGACTATGCATAAATCATACGTTAAGAAAAAAAACAGAGTAAGAAAATCATCCAGATGGAAGTCCTAACTCTTAAAGCTTATACTTTATACGCACATAAAAGAAAGCAAAAACAAAAACTTACAAGCATATTGTAGGTCATCCTGAAAGAAACCTGTAGGGTTTGCTTCAGATTTGTTTATTCAAGGCTCAGAAATCTGAAGATTTCTCACTCTGGAGTGAGAGTGTTCAAAAATACACTGTTCTGCCTTGGTGAAAGAAAGAAAGAAAGAAAGAAAGAAAGAAAGAAAGAAAGAAAGAAGAAGGAAGGAAAGAGAGACAGAGAGAGAGAGAAAGGAAGAAGGAAGGAAAGAGAGACAGAGAGAGAGAGAAAGGAGAGAGTGGGAGAGAAGAAAGAAAGAAACAGATAGAGAAGAGAGAGAGAAGAGTGAGAAGAAAGAAAGGAAGGAAGGAAAGAGAGAGAGAAAGAGAAAGAAGAGAGACTGGGAGAGAAGAAAGAAAGAAACAGAAAGTCAGAGAGAGAAGAGAGAGAAAGAAAAAAAAAAAAAGAAAGAAAGGAAGAAAAAAGAAAGAAGAAAGGAAGGAAGAAGAAGAAAGAAGAAGAAGGAAGGAAAAAAGAAGAAGAAGAAAGAGAGACAGAGAGAGAGAGAAAGGAGAGAGTGGGAGAGAAGAAAGAAAGAAACAGAGAGATAGAGAGAGGAGAGAGAGAAGAGTGAGAAGAAAGAAAGGAAGGAAAGAAAGAGAGAGAGAGAAAGAGAAAGAAGAGAGAGTGGGAGAGAAGAAAGAAAGAAACAGAAAGACAGAGAGAGAGAGAGAGAGAGAGAAAGAAAGAAAGAAAGAAAGAAAGAAAGAAAGAAAGAAAGAAAGAAAGAAAGAAAGAAAGAAAGAAAAGCTTTTCTAAGACCAGGAAGTCAGTCGGTCTGCCAACAATTTTTTGGTCTCTGGTCTATAACTTTGGAAGGAGATACGGAGCCAGGTCTTGCACAAATATTTCAAGACTATTTCAACAACAATAAAAACAACATATTCAACTTACGAATGCCAGTTCTTTGTCTGTTTTGGGGGAAACATCACCTGGAAACTTAATGATGGGTGATGGGATGAGGTCCCTGCCCGCAACCTCTTCCGAGAGCCTTAAGGTGGGTGGCGGAGGTGCAGAAGCTGGATTTAAAATGGAGAGCAGCAACAGGAGGATTTTGAAAACGCAGTCCACAATCCTGAAAGAAACCTTCACCTTCATCTTCTCCACTTTTTCTTCCCTCCTTCTAGTCCTCCTCGGTCAGTCCAAGATACCTCGGGGGGAGAGATTTGAGTTGTAAAACTTCTTTGTTCCCCCTTTTTCGTTTTATGAGCACATCTTCACTTCCTTCTTGAGAGGTTTTTCCACTTCTGCTTGCTCCAGCAATTCCTTTGTATGCTTTCAAACATCCCCAGATGCGCAGGCTCCTAAGTGGCTGCCAGAGGAAGTCTGAAGGAAAGGGGAAAAAAAAAACCAGATGTGGACTTAGTCAGGCTGGATATATATATATATATATATATATGTTTTTCACTTACTTTTTAAGGTAGCTTGCGCAAGACGGTTATCTTAAAGAAAAGCCAGGAATCAGGAGAGACTAGAAGGGCACTAATTAAAATTAACTGGGAATGAATGTCAGGGAAAAAACTTGCTCTGTTTCTGAAATTAGATGTTAAATAAGGCAGCAGGCTGGGTCTACTCCTCAATGAATCTTTCCATTGTGGTTCTTAGAAACTAGAATAGAATAGAATTCTTTATTGGCCGAGTGTGACTGGACACCCAAGGAATTTATCTTTGATGTATATGCTGTCAGTGCACATAAGGAGAATAAAATACATTCATCAAGAATAAAAAGATACAACACTTAGTGATAGTCAAGGTTACTAATAATAGAATAGAATAGATTTTTTTACTGGCCAAGTGTGATTGGACACACAAGGAATTTGTCTTGGTGCATATGGTCTCAGTGTACATAAAAGAAAAGATATGTTCATAAATAAGCTATCAAATCGTACTAGGAAACAAATAAAAACAATATAAATTGAAAGATACAAGCAACATGGTTATAGTAATAAGTGGGAAAAGATAGATACTAGTAAGGAAGAGAAGAATAATAGTAATACAGTCTTAGTAAATAGTTTGACAGTGTTGAGGAAATTATTTGTTTAGCAGAGTGATGGTGTTTGGGAAAAAACTGTTCTTGTGTCTAGTTGTTCTGGTGTGCAGTGCTCTATAGCATCGTTTTGAGGGTAGGAGTTGAAACAGTTTATGTCCAGGATGTGAGGGGTCTGTAGATATTTTCCCAGCCCTCTTTTTGACTCGTGCAGTATTCAGGTCCTCAATGGAAGGCAGGTTGGTAGCCATTGTTTTTTCTGCAGTTCTAATTATCTTCTGAAGTCTGTATCTGTTTTGTTGGGTTGCAGAGCCAAACTAGACAGTTATGGAGGTGCAGATGACAGACTCAATAATTCCTCTGTAAAACTAAGAAGTAGTTTTAATCCGACACCAAACTACAGGATGGTTTTTCTTTGACTTGGGACAGATTGACTGAAACAATCTCAGATCAAAGGAACCAACCACGGGGTGGGTAGGTAGATCTACAGTATATGTTTAAGGTCTCCTTAAATGCTTGACTTCTTGAAATAGGCATGAAAGTAAAGGATAGCTGGATCAATAACTCATTCGAATTGGTTTTGTAACTTCTTTGCAAATGCCTTCCCAAAGTATTTTGTTTTGTTTTGTTTCATGTAGGACAGGGGGCTGATGGCTCAGTGGTTAAAGATGCTGAGCTTGTCAGCTGGAAAGCTGATAGCCAAGGTTCGAAACCCGAGCACTGCATAACGGGGTTGGGGTGAGTTCCCATTCCTCGCCCCAGCTCCTGCCTGCCTAGCAGTTCAAAAACATGCAAATGTGAGTAGATAAATAGCTAGCACTTCATTGGAAGGTAACAGTGTACTGTGCCCCTTAGTGTATAGTCATGGTGGCTACATGACCAGGTAAGCATCTTCGGACAATGTTGGCTCCCTTGGCTAAAAAAACAAAGATTATAATTGTCCCCTCCCTTTCCTTCCTTCCTTCCTTCCTTCCTTCCTTCCTTCCTTCCTTCCTTCCTCTTTCTTTCCTTCCTTCCTTCCCTTCCCTTCCTTTCCTTTCCCTTCCCTTCCCTTCCCTTTTTCTTTCTCCAACCTCTTACAATTCTGCTACTTAATTTGCAAAGTCAAGACATCCTAGCAGCTTGTTGATTCAGTTCACCAACTTATCATTGAGTTATGCTATCTGGCTTTGGCAAGTGAGCTAACCAGGACAGCATTTAATTGCTTGTTACGTGTGTTTTCCCCAAGAAACTATCCAGATCACCTTCTGATCTTAACTGGACTATCTGAAGACTTCCTGACCTTCACAGGGTTCTGTTTCCTATTGCAACATTAATATAACAGAACTTAAAGTCTCGATAGAGTAGGAGAGAGAGAGAGAGAGAGGGAGAGAGAGAGAGAGAGAGAAAGGCTGATAAAACTATTATATATTTTGCTTCTTGAGCTCTGGCATTCTTTCCATTTTCCTTTTTAATTATTGTTCCACTATTTATAAAGGACATGCCCTAGAGCTTATCAACACAGTCTGGAAGAAAGGAGGTCAAAACTGTATCAGTGACAGAAAATAGTTTTCATTTCCCAAGAGTTGACATCTGGATTTAAAGGCCACCAAATACCCAGGGTCACTTTGCGGTTAGTCTAAATGCTTCACATTCCCCAGATGACCGCATCTGCTTAAATCAACAACAAATTGTGATGCATTATGGACCCCGTAATCTACTATCAGAACATATTATCTTCAAATAACATACAGCTGTCACTTGGGGCATAAAGCAGCTGGAGGACTCCAAGCTACCATTTTCATTTCCCACAATGCTTTCAACCATGCAGTGCACTAGAGGATTCTGGGAAATTAAAGCAGTGGATTAACGCGGGTTGCTTCAGTTCTATCTTGCTGCAGTTAATTGCTGGCTTGTCATGGTTGAAGGTTCTCTCCCTAAAGAATATTTGAATTCATCTACAGATTCTGTCTATTCAAAGTATCCTTTGAGTGAAACTCAGATCTTGGTGACTTCGTGCAGAAGAACAGAGTTGGAAGGGACCTTAGAGATCTTCTAGTCTAACCTCCTACTCAGGCAGGAAATCCTATACCATTTCAGACATGGTTGTCCAATGTCTTCTTAAAAAAATTCCAGTGTTGGAGCACTCACAACTTCTGGAGGAAAATCCTTCTACTGGTTGATTGTTCTCACTATCAGGAAATTTTTCCTTAGTTCTAGGTTAGTTCTCTCCTTGGTTAGTTTCCATCCATTGCTTCTTGGCCTGCCTTCAGGTGTTTTGGAGAATAGGATGATCCCTTCTTCTTTGTAGCAGCCACTACATATAATCATGTATATGTATGTACAGATAACCATGTAGATATAGAGTCATCTCACTTTCCATGCCACCTCTGAAACAGTTCTGGTTTTAAACATTTTTGGAAGGGCAGCAATGTAAGACAAGTTAGGTCTCTAAAGGGAAGCTGTTGCAGAGAACAGGCATGGCCACTGAAACATAACACTTATGAACCTCAGCTCTGCTTACCTCGCCAAAGTGGGAAGCAACAGGTTGTTCAATTGTGTTGAGTGTGACTGGAAGTCTTGAAAGTATGTGAGTGCCATTATGTCCAATGCTTCTCCATCCCCAAATATAGCCCAACAATATAGCCCAATCATGTCACAATCTGAATTTTGGTGAATTTGAACAAAAGGACAGATCAGGAAAGGAAGGAAAGGAAGGAAGGAAGGAAGGAAGGAAGGAAGGAAGGAAGGAAGGAAGCAGACAAGGAAATTCTCTGATGTATCAAGTCTAAATTGACAGACTTCTAGTCTATCTAAATGATGCATCAGTGAACAGGAACGAAGGAATTGTCCCCAGCTGTGTACATAAAACTCAACACAAAACTCTTATGAAACGAACAGACACTTTGTGGCTTTTCAGAATGAGTCACAATGGTAACAAGCTCAAATACAAAGGCCAACAAAGAGGGTTTTTCCAGGACTCCCTTGGCACCACGTTTGGGTGAAAGCATGAGATTTATCCAATCCAGCTGGAAGATAATTACATAACTTTTTTTCTTTTCTTTTTGGCAATAGAAGTTGATTAAAGCCAAGAGCAAATTTTGAAGGGAAGGGTCTGTTGCCTGTGGAAAGCAACTCTCTCCAAGGACCAGCAGCATCCAAGATTTTCATTTTGAAAATAGCTAGGGACAATAGCTAGGGACATAAGTTTTATATTTATGGATTGGTATGGAGGTAGTAGAAGAGGAAGAGGAGGAAGAGGAGGAGGAAGAAGAAGAGGAAGAGATAATGACCAGCTGCACTCATGCATAATATTTCATGACATCAGATCAAGAATTGGAGTAGGCTAGTTTATTGCTGCTCTTATCATCTGCAACTTCTTACAGGTAGGTCTTGGATCGATGTCCTTCAGGCTGTGAGTCTTGGACAATGACCTTGAGGTCTGACCTTAACAGCTGCTGTTTCTTCATGTACAAGAATTATATACATAGAAAGTTATAAACCAGGGGAGACATGATAGCAGTGTTCCAATATTTGAGTGGTCAAGCTATTTTCTAAAGCACCTGAAGGCCAGACAAGGAATAACGGATGGAAACTGAACAAGGAGAGATTCAACCTGGAAACAAGGAGGAATGTTCTGACAGTGAGAACAATCAACCCATGGAACAGAAGCTGCCTTCAGAGGTTGTGGGAGTTTCATCACTGGAGGCTTTCAAGAAGAGATTGGACTGCCATTTGTCAGAAATGGTGTAGGGCCTCCTGCTTGGGTGGTGGGTTGGACTAGATGACCTACAAGGTCCCTTCCAACTCTGTTAATCTGTGAAATCTGTTATATTTTGCCTTCTTACCCTCTACAACTCTTCATGAAGCCCAGAGCTAGTTTATCACTGATGCTTCTTGCTTATGAGTTACAACACACACATATATGGACACAAAACCTATATTATTTGACCATGGGATGTAGAAGCACTCAATAGTTCAGAAAATTAGCTGTTCTCTCTGTCTCTGTCTCTGTCTCTGTCTCTGTCTCTGTCTCTGTCTCTCTCTGTCTCTCTCTCTCCCTCTCTCTCTCTCTCTCTCTCTCTCTCTCTCTCTCTCTCTCTCCAGTGGTATATTGTCTGTGATTTGGTTAAAAGAAGTCCTTGAATATACTTGCCTGGCAGAGAAGTCAGCACATGCAACTTTTTCAGGTTTTTGAAACGTTTAGTCAGCATCTGGGAAAGAGTGGTAGAAATCCAAAACGGATGAAAACTTTTTTCCAGAGCAAAGAACAGTGAAGTTCCACCCACTTCTTTTCTTTTCTTTTTTTCCCCCAACATCCTG